GGGGAGGGGGAGCAATGAGTGAGGAGCGGGAAGCAGGGAGCAGAGCAGAGTAGAACAAAAAGAAGAGCGGTCAACATCTTGAAGTTGCCCCTAGAAGAAATGTTTAGTAGAGTTCTATATCAAGAAGGATAAGTACTATTATAAAAATTAAAAGAACCAACTGCTCTTCTACAAATGTTCCAAAAACATACCTGGAAAAAGGAAAGTCCTTTCAATAAATGACTTTAGGAAAACTGGATATCCATATGTAGTAATGTGGGGTCCCTGGCCAGGAGTAGAAGATTAAACTAAATGATTAAACTGCAAGAGAAAAGCACACAGGCTCTATGAGGAGTGAAAGCTTAAAATATGGGGCAAAAGCACACAAATAATTAAGCTGCAGGCAAAAAGCATGCCGGTTCCGTGAGAAGTAAATAAAAAGCACACAGGCTCTGTGCAGAGTGAATGGTTAAACTATGCAGCAAAAGCACACAGGTTATGTGAAAATCAAATGGTTAGAAGTTTAGATTAGTAAAGGATGTTGTATCCGGCCATTGTCCTTCTCCGTCCCCCCTGCCCCCTGACCCCGAAAACACTGCCTAGCATTGAGACCGCTCCTGGCCCAAACTGCTTTTCTCTTATTTTTGTCCTCTTACATGGATACTCTAAATAAAAGCCAGAGAGCTCTCTGCTTGGCGGCTTTTCCTTCTCCCAGAGTCTCCCTGGTGGTGGGAGCTCTTGGTGACAGAACTAAGTCTCATCCCCGAATGATCTTTTTCATCTTCTATGCTACCTGCAGTCACTCACTGCGGCACAGTATAATGAAACTATCTCACCAAATATAAAATTCAGCTTAAAATGGATCCAGGACCTAAATATAAGATCTAACACTATGAAACTACTAGCAGAAAATGGGAAAAACTTCAATGCATTGGTATAGACCAGAGATCGCGAAGCTATTGCACACATTGCCACATCAGGCTGTTTGGATCTCTGAAAGTTCTAAAAGGTTCACCATCACTGACTGGTACAGACAGTATCTTCTTGGACAAGAATCCCCAAAGCAAAAACAGACAAATGGGATTATAACAAACTAGCAAGTTTCTGCATAGAAAACACATAAAGAAAGTACCCAAAGAATAAGAAAAAACATTTACAAACTATTCAAGAAATGATTAATATCCAGAATATAGAAGGAACTAAAAAACTTTAGCAGCCAAAAAAGTAAGAAGTTAAACAATCCAATTTAAAAATGGGCAGTGGATGGGGATGTAACTCACTGGTAGAGCACATGCATAGCATGTGCAAGGGTTCAATTCTCAGCACTAAAAAAAACCAGATAAATAAAATAAAAATTTGCAAATGATAGGTTTGGGATACAACTCAGTGCGAGAGTGCTTACAGGTCATGGGTTTGATCCCTAGCAACACGCGCGCACACACACACACACACACACATACACACACACCATCATGATCTGAATGGACATGTCTGTAAAGACAGAAAAATTGCTAATAGGTATGTGAAAAGTATTCAACTATCATTAATCATCAGGGAAATACAAATCAGAAACTACCATAAGATATAATCTCATGCCAGTCATAATACACAATCAAAAAAGGCAAAAGTAACAAATTCTCACAAGGATGTGGAGAAAGGAGAACTATTATACACTACTGGTGGGATGTAAACTAGTATAGCCATTACGGAAAACAAATGAAAGTTCTTCAAAAACTTAAAAGTACAACTACTGCATGATTCAGCTATCCAACCACTGGGTATATACCCAATGGAAGCAAACTCAGTACATTAAAGAGAGAGCTACACTCCCTGGTTTATTATAGCACATATGTAATGGCCAAGATGTGGAATCAACCAAGGTGGCCATCAATAAATGGATATAGAAAATGTGGAAATATATATATATATATATATATACACACACACACACATCCACAATAAAAAGATGAAATTCTGTCATTTGAGAAGACACAGATGAACCCACAGGACATTATGTTAAGTTAAACAGAAAGACAGGTATCACATGATCTCACTTATGTGTGGAATTGAAAAAGGTTAATAACACAGAAGCAGAAAGCAGAATGGTAATTACCAAGGACCGAGATGTTCAATGGAGAGGGTTGCGGTGATACTGGTCAAAGAAAACAAAATTTCAGTATGACAGTCTAAGTTCCAGAAGTCTATTATACAACATGGTGACCATAGGTAATAATATATTGTATTCTTCAAAAAAGAGTGGATGTAGAGTTTTCACTACAAAAATGATATATAAGGTATTGCATATATTAATTAGCTACACTTAGTCATCCCAGTGTATGTGTATTTTAAACATTGTATTCTATACAGTAAATACATATAATGCAATGTGTCAAGGTAAGAAATAAAATTTAAAAATTTTTAAAAGATGTAGGATCATAGTATTGATATGTGTCCTAATGGAGCAATTGTCAACGCTCAGGTATGAACTACACTATTTTCTACAATATACCATTCACAAAAATTTTACCTCCCATTTTTTGTTACCTGTTTCTTGCCTTGCTATTGACTTAAACTTATCAACGGCTTGGACTGTGTTAACCCTTTATTTCAGTTCTAACGTGTTATAGGCTTAAAAAACAAAATTCTGTGTAAAATAAAGTTCAATATACTGGTCTGAGAGGGGCTTAGTAATGAACCTTTATGAAGTCCATTTTGAATATTTAGTTTTGTTCCAGCCTATTTCCTGATTGTCACCTCTGTTTTTTGATAGGTAAAGAATTACTGCAAAAAATCTTTAATCAGAACCAAAGATATTAGTTGGGCACTGTGGGACACAACTATAGTCTCAGCTACTCTGAAGGGTGAAGTAGGAAGATCACTTATGCTTACGAGTTTGGTATCAGCCTAGGCAACACAGACCTACATCCAAAAAAACCAAAGATATTATAAAAAGTAACTGGGGGCCTATAAAATACCAGTGTTGCCCATGAAAAGATAATGAGTTTGCTATTACTATATTTTGTCGATTTCTTACAAGGCATGTAGTTTTTAGCAGAAATTAGTAATCTTTTTATTGGCAAAACATCTGGCACATAGGAAAGATAATGCAAAAGCTCACTATATTGAGCTGATACATTCACATGAAAGTTTTCCAGCTCCTGTCAGTAGCTTTTGTCTCAAATGCATAAAAATCAACTGGATAAACTTGTTAAAATATAGATTCCCATGTTGTAACCTATAGATTTTCATTGACTGTGCATGTTTATACATGTGCACATGTATATATGTGTATGTGGAAGTGAAACAATAGTTGCATTTTTAACAAACTCTATAGGCAATTCTGATGAAAATGGTTTCAGATGACCATGTAAAACACTGCGCTCTGTAACTGTGAAGGAGGAGATATCAAGAAATAAGAAAAAAAGGTAAGATGGAAAGTGAAAAGGAAAAGTAAAGACTAAGAGAGTTCAAAAAGCATGGAAAAGGCCAGACATGGTGGTGCACACCTGTAATCCCAGCACTCAGGAGGCTTAGACAAGAGGATCACTGTGAGTTCGAGGCCAGCCTGGGCTACAAAGTGAGTTCAAGGCCAGCATGAACTGCATAGCAAAATTCTGTCTCAAAAAGACAAACAAAAAGCCTGGAAAATAAGAACAGAGAATTCATGAAGGTCACAGAAGTACATGAAACACTGAGGAAATTGGCTAAAGACAAGTAGAGAATGGCTACAGAGGACATAAAACTAGCATAGAAAAATAGAGGCTAGTGAAAAGAAGTTTGTTGAGAAGACTGGGAAATCTATAGTCAAAGTTGGCTGCATATGGATCAACTCCTGGATGCAATGACTATACAAATAGTGTAGGGAAAGAAATATCAAACTCTTAAAATCAAGGGAGCAGACGGTCTGGTTAAAAATAAATATTCAAAGTGAGCATTACAGGACCATGGTGGTTGCCTCAGGGTAGATTTAATAAAACACTCTGTTAAAACCCTGATTATAGGGTAAACCACAGCCTTGCTAACATGGTACTGGAAGAACGCCCATGATAACTTGCTTGTTTAGGACTTGCTATACCAACTCTATGCACTACAGACTTTTTGCATTGTTTTACAAAGTTAGAAAATTTAGAATAAAAGAAAAAGCACAGACACTATCCAGGCCAGCCCAGTGAAATGCAATGCATTGAAGTACTTTAGTCTCTTTAAGGAATCAGTACTCCTCTAGAACATGTTAGGTTCTTCCCACAAGGCAGACTGTACCACAGATGTACCCTTAAAGCTCTATTTCTGAGCTCCGTGTCCCACAATTTCTACCCCACACTCTATTCTCTCTACTTCCTTGGCGATCCTTTTTGCTTATACAGTATAACCTCAGAGTTAACTCTCCCATTGTATCATGAAGTTTCCTCTGTGTACCATCAGTTTCTTCCTCCATTTAAGGTTGAGTCTCACAGATAATGACCATGCAATGCTAGCCCCAGGAACCATCTTCCCTCCTGCACAATGTCATTATACATGGTCCCTCTGGCATCATCTCTGAAGGAGAAATATATTCTTCTCCTGCTGCCTACCACCCGCTTACCTCTTCACTGAGAGCCAGATAATAATAATGCTGAAGAGCTTCTTCAGCAGGAAATTACCTGGAAACTTTCTGTTTGGAACTTACTTTAGGCCCACTTTTCGGTACTTTCATAAGGATGATCTAATGAACCATGTTCTCAATACAACAATGGGTGGTAACCCTAACTTACCGGCATAACTTGGCTGATTAACATTTGCACCTTTTTTTATACAATAATGAACAAGATCAGCATCATCATATAGAACAGCCTCATACAGTACGTTCTCTCCAAAAATGTTTCTGCGGTTTATGCTAGAGAGAGGCAATTGATTAATCTTCATTTTTTCTGAAATGAGAGAATAAACACAAGAAAAGAATATTTATTTAAAAATCAGGATAAAGAGAAGTAATTGGGTAAATCCAGTCAACACTCTAGAAGTAAGGAATACTGTATTATATTATGAAAGAGTATTTCATCTATGAATCCAACTATAATCCAATTTATAGGCAACAAGGAGAAAGATGTATAATTAGTTTTTAAATATTAGTAAATGTAGAATCGCCATTTTTTAATCTTTTTTTTAAATTTTGTTTTGTTTGGCAGTAGTACAGATTGAACCTAGGGCCTTGTGCTGAGCTATATCCTTTTTGTTTTTCATTTTAGGGCCTCACCAAATTGTCTAGGTTAGCCTTGAACTTGTAATCCTCTGCCTCAGCCTCCTGGGTAGCTGAGAGTACTGGAGTGCCTATAACATTCTCATAGCTATCCTCCAGCTTCATTTAAAAAAAAAAATGAATGAATGAGTATCTTTTTTATTAAGACAGAGAGGTGAACTGCTTACAATGCTGAAATCTTTCTAGTCAAGAACAAGTTTCTTCTATATAGCTGTTTATTCCTTTTTAAAAAGATGTCCCTCAGCAGAATTTTTAAACTTTCTTTTTCTAGGGATGGCATAGTTTTATTAGTTATAAAAATAGACGTTTTCTCTCCTTTGTGACAATTATGAATGAGATCTCATATTGTTTCATTTGTATTTATATATTAAATGTATTAATTTTTAAATTTTTCTTTTGATTTACTGAATTTTTATAACTTTTACTGTATAGTAAGTTCAGACTTACAGACAAGTTGTAAGAATAGAACAAAGTGGGCAGGGCTATAGCTTTGTGGTAGTGCACTCACTTAGCATGTGCAAGGCCCTGGATTTCACTCTCAGTACTGCAAGATAAAAAATAAAGGATTCATTCATTGTTGACATTTCTGCCATAAATGTATGTCATTCCATGTCCGTTTACATATACATATGCACACATAGCACATATATATAAGTACAGAAAATGAGTAACTATATATACTATCTGCTTCAATCACTAATACTAAAGTGTATATTTTCTAAGAATATTTTTATATAACCAATTATCAAATTCAGAAAATTTAACAATACAATCTATACTCCATATTTCAATTCTGCACATTTTTCCACAATTATTTTTTAGCCAGTGTTTCTAGGTTTTCTTATTATAACTGCGAGTTTTTAGTTCAATATTTCAGGTTTATAGAAACAGAAATAAGACCTAGAAATAAGAATTTGGCCATGTCCTTTTCTCTGGTCTTCTTTATGCTTTCTTATAAGCTTTTGTTAGGTCATTCACATACCTAATTTGAAAAGAATTCTATAGCTCTCTCCAAAATAGAATTATGGAAAGAAAATACCAGCCTATGAGACAGAAGCTCAGGATCAAATCCCAGTTACGCTGCAAATAAGCTGTGTGACGTTGGGAAAAGCCTTAACATCTCTGAAGTTCAGTTTCCTCAGCAGTAAAGGTGAACTTTGAGACAGATAATTTTTCAATGTTTTCTACCAAAATCTTGTTTTTATAACTTAAAGAAATGGAGAAATATTTAAAATATGCCTCACCTTTTTTTAGCATAAGTCGTTCATTTTTCCTGATCTGTTCACCCTTGAATCTAGATGAATGCATATTCTTCTTTTTATCTTCCATCTTTAAAACAGGATCCTGCATTCTTAAAAATCAAATGTACTTTTAAATAACTAAAATTTTTCTTACAAGCACTCATGGTGAGCCCTACAGAATTTTGACTAAACTTTGAAATCTTAAAAAGATATTTTACTAAACTATTCTCAAAGGGCAGAGCAGTTTTAAATATGAGTAAGCTGTAGATAATTCTGTGACAGACATGCCCAATCCCGGTGGCCTCTAGCTCTCTCTCTTTGTGCTTCTCCTCCTTAGGTGTAGTGACCTACAACTATGAGGGTTCTGAGACTCCTGCTCCTCACACCCCAAGCTAGCATGTTCCTATCCATCCTATTCACCTGTTAGGGAAAAAAGGCAGGCTTTTCATGACAATAAAGTGTTTGCTATATGGCATGACACTAATCAAAAACTGCAGAATACAAGAAGTACCAACATAAAAAATAAAGTTCTTTATTTAGGGATAACTTTAAAGTGACCCTAGCATCCCTAGTGTATAATTATCTATTAGGTCTATAGAATGCCTAGAGAGAAAGCTGTAATTAATGGCATACCTGAAATTTTCAGTTGATTTATTACTTATTTGATCCTCACAGCTACGTATTTCTGATACAGTCTTTTCTGGCATCTTATACATGTCATCTGTATACTTTGCACCTTGGCTTACTTTCAATTTTTCCAGTCTAGATGATCTCCGTAACACACGTGGAGTTTTCTGGTCAGAAGCATTATCCATGGGATTTGGATTCTTATTATTATTTAGTGGCTCACAAGAGGTGACATTTTGATGAGCCAAACTTGGGGATCCAAATGGATTTGAGTTTTCTATAGCCTACAAAATGTAAATACATCCACAAATAATTATAGCAATGAAAAAATTAAAACTAGAACAAATTAAATTTTATCTTTTCTTATATGATACTAAAAATGCCTCTAATATGAAAATAAATGAATTTTAAAATGTGACTGTAATGAAAATTTTATAATAATTATTGTAATACAAGAAAATGCATATTTAAAAGCTTAAGAAGATCATCAGTAAAAATAATTTCATCCTTAAAATTCAAGGGAAAACCTAAGATCATTACTGCTTTAATTCTGCAAGGAAAGGTAGTGTAGAATAATAAGACCCATAAAAATATTAGCTTCCAAGATCAGATGGGATCTGTTGTGTTCAGGGTGCTATGACCGGAGACCCATAAAAACATTAGAAAGGTCATACAAGGCCAGTTAGTTATTCCACTCAGCCTACTATTTTATTACTTGACAGCACAAGTAAGTGATATTTTGTGGGACAAGATCATAACCTCCATTATATTGATTTTAAAAGGTTAACAGTATCATGTATTGCTCTCATCCTTTATAATCAATTACAGATTTAACTTCTATGAAGATATCTATATTTTCACATATTATCAAAACTTTCTTGAGCTTATTTATATACCCAGTTTGCAAAGGTTCTGAAGGTAAGTTTCCATATTTTATCACAGCTGAGGGCTGGGGATTTAGCTCAGCGGCAAAAGCACCTGCCTGGCAAGCGCAAGGTTGTGAGTTTGGTTCCCGGTACCGGAGAAAAACCAAAAAAACAAACAAACATATTTTATCACAGCTGAGTAAAAAAATATTTAACTTTATCTGTCCTAAGTAAATCTTTTTACTTCTACAGGGTTTCTTTTACATGAAGTCTTGCTAAATTTGTGCTTATCTTATTAATACCAAGCAATCATAATTTCCTATACTTTATCCATATCTCTTCTTTCCAGATTAGAACACTGGCATATTTAATCTTCAAGCCCATATATATGATTATTGTCTCTTTTTCTGAAATTTTTTTAGTCCTGTTACATCTGTTTTGAGATTTGTTAACCAGAACTGCATGCAATTATTATTCCACATGTGTGTATTGCAACACTAGTTCAGCATTACATTATTTCATCCTTCATGTGTACGGTCAAAAGACCATTTGGTAACAGAGAAGTGGAGGGGAGGAAAAAGGAGGGCAAAGGAAGGGGAGAAGAGAAGGGAAGAAAAGGTACTGGCAGGGAGAGGATTGAAGCAGGTGAGGGACACTGAGAGGAGGGGTAGAAAAGATTACAAATGACCATCATTGAGTTGGTTAAATTACAGTATATTCAAACACTGTAATACCATTTGGGAAGTTAAAAGACTTAAGTAGTGCTACATTTCCTGATACAGAACGATAACCAAGATATATTATTAAATTTTAAAAAGAAGTTGTACAGTATCTTATATAACGTAATCCTACTTGAATAAAATAAACTTACGTAGACTTTAACAGAAATAATTAAAGACAAATGTGCCAGATGTTAGCAGTTATTTTGAGAGTGGAAATGAGGGGTACTTGTTACTTATTATTTCAATTTATTTGTTGCTTATTACATAATTCTACAATGTTTGAATTTTTTATAATGAAGATGCAAATGACCAACATGAAAAAAGAACTTGGCACACTGTAAGTCACTGCAGGGCCTTCAGGCACATTGCTGAAACACACTTGTAAACCCAGGAGTTCCATCTGGCGGGACACAAAGCCATAGACACAAAGTTCTCTTTAAGATAGGCATACATTTTTCCCTTACCTGGCAGCCCAAACTGCCTATTTTCTATGTACAACTATAAATTGAGATATCCCATATTTATCCTGCAAACAGAAAAATAAGGTCATTTTCTGAGCTAACAGAGAAAATTCTGGTAAAGAATTCTTTCCTTAACATACAAGCAAACTTCTCAGGTCTGCTGGAGAAAAATCTATTCTAAATTTAGAATAGATTTTGAAACCTTGAAACCTCTACCCAAGAGCTTCTGAAAAGATCACTGAACGCTTCAGGATGACAGCTGGGTAGAAGCTCTGAATTTAACAGTGAAGATGTCAGAAGTTACTCTAAGTGGTAGAATCAGACTCACACTTGCACCTACTTGTTCCACTGATGACACTTTTGTCCTGCGGCTCAGTTAAGCTAGAACTGTATTTGAAATAGTGAAGTAGAACAGAAACTCAAAATTCACCTCTGTTATTTGTGTACAATCTTCATCTGTCTGAGATGTATCAGGCTCCATTCTCAAATATTCATTTCCACCACTGAGATTGCCTCCGAGACCATCTTCTTTTCTATGACAGATGAGCCCTGTCTTGTCTTCTGACAATGTGTTCAGGGCTGCCAACAACTCAGGTGGTAATGCATCATCCTCTGTGCTTTCTAGTAAGTCTCTACAATATGGTGACAAAGCACTCAAAGATATTGACATGGAACTCGATGAGTTGCTCAGTGGGTTCATCAGTTCTCGAGGATCAAAATCATCAACTGTTTCAAATAGTCCTTTTTCTTTGGTGCTTTCTGGTGATGTTAGTAACTTTTCTACAGTAGACACAAAAGTTTCAAGTGAGCTTTCTTCATCCTTGGTTTCTTTATAAGTCGTGGTCAGCATGACTTCCTTTCCAGCGTCGTAAAATGTATTTGGTGCTGCTAAGATCTCTGGCTCTACTAACGATTTCTCTTTTACAGCAACCATACCAGATACTACAGTAGCAATATTTGAGAGCAGGCTAACTTCAGGGGAGTTTCTGTCTTCACTTAGTTCCTGTGTATTTCCAAATAGAAATTCCACAATTATAGTATAGATAAGAAAATGTTTAAAATGAAAAATTTACCATTTTTTTACTTTGCAGCTTACTGTCAAAAAGTTTTCATCAACTTTCTTCCTCATAGAATATTACTACTTTCCTACGCCAAATCACTAGTGACTGAATATATGGTTAAACATTAATACTAAACCAAGAGCAACATTGGCTGTAACATATTTACAGATGGCAAATATCTATTCAACTATGTTTAAATTATCCATGCTAACAGAAGAGACAGACCTCTAAGATACAGTGCTCTCTGAACTTTTTACCCAAATAATCCTTTTCCTCAGAAGATCTATTACTATCACAGGATGTAAGTGATTAGGAAATACTGCACCACTATCAGTGAATGCTAGAAAAGGAACAATTATTTTTGTCAAGATTACCAGTCTTCTGAAACAAACCCATAGTAGAGAAAGGACTTCAGCCAGACATTAGAAGATTTCTCAAGGACTGAAAGAAGGGAAGAGCACATATTTATTTAGTACCATTAGGTGCCAGACACCATGAATCATCATCGCTCCTAGTCTTGGTAATAACTGTGCGGAACTGTTAACACTGTCCACATTTCACAGATATAAGCAACAGAGCTACCCTGAGAAACTAGATCTGATTCCAAATCGTATGCTCTTTCCCCTGCTTTCTGACTCCTGACTTCAGAAAATAAATAAATAAATAAATAAAGCAAGCAAGCAAGCCTGACAGCAGGAAATGTGTAAGGTGTAGTTCACAGATCTATGAAACACAGATCAAAAAACCACTATTAAACAAAGAGTAAATTCTCAAAAAGGTTTGAGACAAGAACATATTTCTATCTCTTGAAAAACCATTCCCTGCTGCTAGATGAGCAATACCAATACTGTCAAAGATTGTATTACAAAAACTGATACACAGGTTTAATGTAATCCCAATCAAAATACCAACAGCATTCTTCATAGACCTAGAAAAATGATCCTAAAATTCATATGGAACCAGAAGAGACCAGGAATATCAAAAGCACTCCTGGACAACAAGAGCAAAGCACAGGGCACCGCAATCCTGGATTTTAAGTTATACTGCAGAGCTACCGTGATAAAAACAGCATGGTCATAGCACAAAAATGAATATGTTGATCAATGGCACAGGACTGAGGACGCAGAAACAACCCTAGGCATCTTCAGCCATCTGGTCGCCAAAAAGGGGCCCAAAAACGTGCTGGAGAAAAGACAATCTCTTTGACAAAAGGTGCTGGAAAATTTGGATATCCACATGCAGAAAAAGGAATCAAGACTCATGTCTCTCACTCTGTACTAAAAATCGAACCAAAATCAATAAATAATCTAGGTACTAAAACAGAAACAATCTGCTGGAAGATAAAATAGGCAAAATGCTTGAAGACACGGGCATAGGAAAGTACTTTCTGAACAGAGTCCCTTCTGCATAAGAAATTACACCAACAATAAATAAATGGGATTATATAAAATCAAAATCATGCATAGCAAAGGAAACAATCAAGGGAAGCAACAACTTACAAAACAGGAAAAATGCTTTCCAACTACTCCTTCCTTGGACACAGGGCTAATACCTAAAATACATAAAGAACTAAAAAAAAAATTAGACCTCCAAAGAATAAAAGACCTAATAAAAATTGGCAAATGACATTAATGGACGTCTCAGAAGACATACAAATGTCCAATGAATACATGAAAAAAAGTTCAGTATCTTTGGCCATTATAGAAATGCAATAAAACAATGAGACTCCATCTTACTTCAGAAAGAATGGCTATCATCAAGAACTCAAGAAACAACAAATATTGGTATGGATATGGGGAAAAAGGAACCTTTTCTCTCCTACATTATTGGTGGGAATGTAAATTAGTATAACCACTATGGAAATCAGTATGGAGATTCCTCAAAAGCTAAAAATATAAATTCCAATTGACCCAGCTACACCACTTCTAGTTATCTTCCTGAAAGAGGTAAAGACACCTTTGCTAGTGATACATGTATACCTACGTTTATAACATAAATTACAAAATTTATTATACATTTTGGAAGCAGCCTATATATCTATAAACGGATGAATGAATGGATAAAGAAAAAGTGTTATCTGAACATAACAAAATACTACTCTCCCATAAAGAAAGGTTAAGTATTGCATATTTTCCCTTATATGAAAAGCATAACATATAAATAATTTAAAGAGTAAAACAGAAGATAAGGAACAGAGAGGTAATCTTTATGGAGATGGGAAGGTGATCTAGAAATGAGGAGGGGACAGACGTGGGAGAGGACAGATGGGATAGAAGTGAAAAGGATTAAGATGTGATACATGTATGTACTGATCTTCTGTGCTGAATGTATTTATTATGTTTTACAGACATAGTAATAAAAAAGAATATACTTCTATCTACTGAAATGATTAGCTATATCTCTTCTCAGCAGAGGGTCTAAGTGAGGCTGATACTTTAATCAGCATCATTTTTAAAAAATCTAAATCCACATAACTAATCTAGCTAATCTGTTATATAGACCAACCTTTTCTAAGTACGGCCAAACTTCAGTATTTTCAGCTTCAGGTCCTGGAAGAGAAGAATATGTTTTTATTCCAGTTTTGTTAAAGCATTAGAAATTTACCCTTTCAACAAGCATTTTCTAATCACATAAATTGAACTTCTTCAGACAATTCAGTCACATATCAAATATTATCAATTTATTGATTCAAAAAATGTTTGGAAATGCAGTTATAAAATTCTATTTAAAAAATTATACCAGTCTAAATAGAATTATTATTATTTGGAATTAGTTTTCACTATACTGGTTACTATCTCCCTATTCTTTATTGTAAGTATTTGTGACTATACAATGTCATTATTTCCTCCATTGTAAGTAATAGAGCTTAAGTGAATTCATGTTACCTAGGCATGAACACTTCATGTAGGGGCAAAAAAATCAGGAGGTAACTCTAGAGAACTGGGAGGACTGCTGCCTTAGACTTGTGACATCAAGTCCACTGTCTTCACTCTGGCTCTTCCGAACTCAGTTGGCTTACAGTACTTCATATCAAGTTAGGCTGAGGAAGGATCAAGAAAAAAGGCGTTTCTCCTGCTCTATGTACCTTCACCATGAAACCCCTGATATCTTGACATACTTCGGCAGGAATTTAGGGCTCATTGGCATTTCAAGCACTTATGATTCATTCTTTTGGTTTCTTCTTATTAGTCAGTCTACAGAACTAACATAAGAGCAAGGAATTATCTACTGAACCTGAGAATACAGCATCCTTAGAAGAAAGATAGGCATTTCAGGTGGAAAAATAAGCATATTTGCTGAATTTTATAGCCTCCAAAAATTTTCTCTTATTTCACTTTTGATAAAAAGCAAAAGGAGGATTAAAGGATGAAGAGCTAGGAGGATTAAAATCAAGACATTCCACTCATTCACAGGATGATAAGCAGAAGTTATGAGAACAAATAATTATTCTTGCTTCAGAATCTCATGCTGAGCAGTGATGATATGTTCACATGTATATCTTAATTACTCAGAGAGCATAATACTAGGTCCCACAAACATCTCTTACTTTTCTACTGTAAATTTTTGCTGGACAGTAATAATAGTGGCCAGCTATGTCCCAGCATCTTTGCCTGAGGGATACAGGAAGCAATCTTTGCGTTTACTCACTTGCTACAAGGTGTGTACAAATGTGCAAATGTGTCAAACCAGGATTTTCACCAACACAATACTCCACTCTAGGATTTGTTTCTAAAGAAGTTTTCTTAAAAATTTTTCTGGTAGAAATAGCCCAATTCAGTACAATGGCATATGAAAAACCAGATTTGCAAGTTTTGGCAGGGGTCAAAAGTGAATCATCAGATTTCTCGTGTATGGATGATGATGATCCACTATGGTAAAATACATGTTTTCATTACAGAAGACTGGTGTGGATGTATGATGATTATGATGATGATGGTGATGATCATGATGATGACGATGATGATGACAATGACAACAACGATGACTGTGATGTTGGCCAAGTTAGCCAAAGTTCCTGTGATAGTGAAATGAGCAAGAATCAACTGATACAGACAGAGGCAATGCAGATCTCCTTGAGTCAGATGAAGAACACAACAGTGTGAGGATATGTTTGACTAGATAAAATGTTGTGAAATGACCACACAGCCGAATGGAATGATCCAATGTTAGAACTAAGTTTGAAAATACAGTGAAGGCCTTGGCAGGAATGAAACATATGGGACAGAATGCTAGCACTCCCATTCAATGCTGGAAATTGTAACAGATGAAATGCTACAAGATGCTGTGAAATACACAAAGGGTGCAAGACAAGTAAAACGTTCTGTATGCACCAATAGCCATATTAAAAAATGTGTTTATTATGACACCTCAGTAGCTGAACTGAAAGCATTCCTAGGTCTGCTATACTTAGCACAGATTTCTCATTGTAACTGCAGGAATGTAAAACACTTACGGAAAAGTGATGGGTCAAAATATGGCATAAAAATTTATGCCCTTGTAGATGTGAAAACTTCTACTTTCAATTTCAAAATTTATCCTGGAACTCAGCCATCAGGTCCTTACTCATGTAGTAATAAATCAAATGATGTTGTGAACAGACGTCTTGCTCCTATCTCCCAAACTAATCAGAATGTGGCAACTGGTTTACTGGTTTCCAGTTGATGTCACATTTGCTAACAGCAAGGAACAAAAAAATTCCAAAATGAAACGCTGAAATTTCAAAATAGAACTGTATAGTGCAATCTTTGGATTTCAGAAATATTTACACTGGCCTCATATATGGCAAAGAAACTGACACTGCTGATGTCAACAATGCACCATGGTAGAAATACTGACAGGGAAACCTCGACAAACCCCAAGTCTGAGATGGAAACTTTCTACAACAAAACCGAAGACAGAGTAGATGTTGTTGATGAGTTATGCAGCAACTATGACGTCACTTGAAACACAAAACATTGGCCAATGATTGTGTTTTACTTGATTCTAAACATGTATAACATAGTTTTATAGTTTACAAAAAAAATAGTAAGTGCAAAATACACAGAAAAAATTTTCTGAGAAGAGTGGGACAGGAATTCATAAGGGATCATTTACAGCAGAAGAAAACCAAAATGTTTCTGCCTAGGGAACTATGCAAAAAACAGGACCACACTGGTGAGATGACAGGTGAATAGGCAGGCGCAGCATCCTAAAGACCTACTTTGAAAACAGGAAAACAAAAAAGATGTCAACTATGCCCTATAAGAAAGAACAGGAAAACAAAACATACAGTGTAAGTGATACTTGTATATGGAACATGTATATTCATAGGCGAAGACTGACTTGGGTGTGACAATTAAAGCAAAGATTATTTCTGTTATAGAGTTCTATTGGTATTTTCATTGCACTTCACAAAGGTGAATACCAACAGTACTCTATTGGTATTTTCATTGTACTTCACATTGTACTTATTTCTCATGTTATCATTTAGGTTTTGTAAGCAAGTAAATAGCTGATGTGAAAATACTGATGTCTATTCTAAGCACTCATTGTGTATTTGATATTTTATTTATTGAGATCTTATTTCCCTGCTACATGTATGTTGTACAATATGGTAGGATGGGGGCTGGGGATTTAGCTCAGTGGCACAGCACCTGCCTGGCCAGCACGAGGTCGTGAGTTCGATTCCCAGTACCCGGGGGCGGGGGGTAGGGGATGACAAAACAAAACATGGTAGGAAGCTTCTGACAAAACAGGAAGACAAGAGAGGTGACAAGAATGGCCTGCCACATAGGAAAGGAAGCTAAGCACATGTGCCGTCAGTGAAAAAGAGACGTGTGCATGGAAAGTGCAGTTGTCATGTGTGAAGACTGCCTTGGGTGTGTCAGTTGAAGCAAAGACTATTTCTGTGGTAGGCCTTTGTGTTTACAATGTAGCTCACATAGATTTTTAATCTCTGCTGTTAACTCTTCGGTTTTGCAAGCAAGTACACAACTGATGTGAAAATGTTGATGTCTATTCTAAACATATAATACATATTAAGAATACTTTATTTTATTGCTATTTTATGTTCCTGTTAACTACACATTGCATAGTATAATAAGAACCTCCTGACAAAACAGCAAGACTAGCGAGATGTCAAATATGCCCTACAAAAAAGCCAGAAAAGCAAAAACATGTGCTGTCAAGTATAAGCAATATGTGTGTATGGAATGTGCTGTTGTCATGTGTGAAGACTGCCTTACATGTGATAACTGAAGAAAAGTTTTTTTTGTAGAGTGCTATTGGTACTTCATTGTATTTCATATAGAAATTTATTTTTTTGTTTTTTAGTATATGCATTGCCAAACCAAGCACTCTGTTGTTCTTTTTTAGACTTTGTACACCAAAAACTAGTCGATTTTGAAAATTTTGACGCTTTTTTAATAAACACTCAATAAATATTAAAAATGTGATGCTTTATTTTTGTGATTTTTTTCCTGTTAAACATTCATTGCTTAATGTAATAAAACTCATAAAATTAAAATAATTCATCAATAGAAATATTCTACAGATTAAACATGGGTTTGACACACCCATGTTTATGGGACTTTATAACAGAAAATGTGGTATGCTCTATGGACTTAAGTTATTTAAAATTTTATCTGTTTAAAATTTTAATATCAATAAAAAAGAAGCATTTTAAGAAAATTCGTACAGCTTCAATTATTTTTCCAGGGAGGTTTTGTTTTTGTTCCTTTTAACACAATTTTGTATTTGGGAAGTTAGAAGTCAAGAATAAAAAATATTTTACCTTCTTCCTCCTCTGAATTGTAAAGAAAGAGCCCTCACAGACCTCTTCTCCCACACTGTCTTTAACAGCTTCATTATCAAAATGGTCACATTTATGCCAGTTGATAAGATTTTTAAAACTTCATAATAAAATATTTTAGTTTGATTACTGTATTAAAAATAAACATTTAGAAGGAATTTTCATTTTCTAACTTAAAATTTTACTTTAAATTTACAGTTACACAAAGAAACCTTCCTGAATTCTTAACTATCTTTAATAAATTATTAAAAGAATTGGTATTCTTTCTACTTATCATTTAAGGGACACAAATATAATGGTATATATTACATAATAATTCTAAAGTATGAATGCAAAGTATCATAAATTTGGAATTATGAATTGGGAAAGTATAGGACTATATTTGAACAGTCAGTTACAAAAGCTAACAATTTAATAGTTTACTTATGAGATTTAACCTAAAGTAATAAATGACCATTTTCCTACTGTGAACATTCTAGGTGAAGAGAAGGCAAGAAGGGGGCTGCACTGAGGTGTCAGAGGGGGAGGGAAGTACCAATTCTATGGTCTCTAGTCACAGCAGCTTCAGGGCAGCAAGCAACTCTACAGCGCTAACCCTGGTGTGCATCGGACTTTTAAAGAACATCCAACAAGAACTGCGACTTAGAAGTCAGTGAGGGTGGTGACAGCACTGCACAGATGCCAACAGCATCACAAGGGAGTACTGACCCACAGAAGGCCACATGGGCAGAAAATGCAAGGCCTTCTGGAACCTTGTTGTTTTATACTGGGATTAGGTACAACAAAAATGGAAATAGATCTTTTATGTAATTATTGCTGATATTTGTTATCACAGTTAAGACCCAAGGGAGAAAAGGAATGCCCAAGACAGAACATCATGTATAACACCTGTCTCAAAAGTTTAAAATATGCTTATGAAAAAAGAATTTTAACCTCTCAGATGTTAACTCTACAGCTTTATAAACATGACTCTTGATTTATCAATAACTGTACCTTGTAAAAGGTTTTAAACATGTTTTCCCCAAATTTGGAAAGTGTACTATATTTGGCATAATCTGAAATATAGTTTGAGACTAATGCTTACTTGATGGCTTAAAAATCATGGTACATAAAATAGTACCATGCACACCAGGGTTAGCACTGTGGTGCTGCACTGTCTTATTTGTATTTGGAGAAGAATATCATTTACGATTTGTACTTGTATTTAATGGTTTGATGAAATAAATAAGTTTTTTCTTAAACTTCTGTATCTAATCAGAAAAACTTGATAACTGCTGTTTCTTTAAAATTTAAACATTGACAAGTTGGTATTTGAGTCTATTATTGTTGCTGTTTCTTTGCTATTTCCAGTAGTGACATAGTTGTTGCTATTCTTTTTTACTGCATGCCAATATATAGTTTGTCTCTGTGTCACCAACATTATTGCAGTTTGTTTACGGAGAACAGGGTGCTGGGCCACTTACATCATACCTTCCCAAATTAACAAAGGTGGTCAGATCATTGGACAGAGGCAAAGGCCTGTAGTTAGAAATACCAAGAGTACAACAGTGGAGAGCAAGCACTAACTAAAGGGCTCTCTATACTACCAAAAAGTCTTTCCAACTTTATTGACCCTCATCACTCCAAAATACATCCCCCTAGAACCCTAAAAACATAATAGAAGAATGAGAAGACAAGACAACAAGATGCCTCCCCCAAAACTGATGAATGAGGCATCTCTCAGGAGAAAAATCAACAGCCGAACAACTGAATTGTACAAAGTGATAAAGGAAGAAACAAACAAAAACAAGCTGATAAGGCAGTCAGGGAGTTCAAAATTTGTATAACTAAGCAGACAATGGACTAAATAAACAAAATGACCAGTGAGTTATGGAAGACAGTAATATAAATCTACCTAAGGTAGACATAAAACATAAATGACCAGTTTAGCAAAGAATTAGAGTACATGAAAAGGTACCAAATAGAAATTCAAGAAATAAAAAATTCTACTGAGTGTATGGGAAGCAAAAGTGATCGGTTTGAGAATGTAAGGAGGGTATAGTGTAACTGGCCCAGCACCCAGGTCTCTGGAAAGGAACTGCAGTAATGTTGAGCACATAAGGACAAACCATGTGTTGGCATACATTAAAAAACAATTCATAGCAGCCAAAAGATAGGGCTGACGCAGGTGACCATATATTAGGCATACCTTAAAAATAACAAGAGATCATGGAAAACAGACCCAATAGCTGCTAGATGATGGAAGACCAACCTCAGATTAACTGAAATTAGTGAAAAATTAGAAGACTGCATGAATGGCATGAAAAATCTATTTACAGAAATCATTGCAGAAAAATTTGCAAGTATGGGGAAAAATTTAAAATACAGGCAATTGACACAAGTGGAAAAGAATTTCTTTACCACTCATCATGGTCAAAATCTCTGAAGTATGCTCGCTTCAGCAGCACATATACAAAATCCCCAAAGTCCAACACAAGGACAGAATCTTAAAAGAGAAAAGCAACAAATCACTTACAAGGCAAATCCTTTAAAATTACAGCAGAAATGTCAACACAAACCTTAAAGGCCAGAAAAGCTTGGCAAAAAAAACCAAACCAACCATAAACCCTCCCAACCCAGACTAATAAACCTTGCAAAACTACCTATCATAATTGATACAATCTTCTGCATGTAGGTAGCCAGTTTCCCCGGTCCCGTTTGTTAAAGAGGTTATCTTTCCTCCAACACATTTTGGGGCTCTCTGTCAAAAAACAGATGGCTGAATGTCCCTGGGTTGTTTCTGCACCTTCAATTCTGTTCACTTGATTAACATGTTTGTTTTTGTGCCAGCACATGCTGGGCTTTTTGTTGTTGCTTGATTTTTTTAAGATACCAGTAGGTTTGTAGTATCACTTGAAATCTAGGATTGTGATTGTGATTCTTGCTTTGCTCCTGTTGCCCAGGAAAGCTTTTGCTACTCTAGGTCTCTTCTAGTTCTATATGAATTCTAAGACAGTTTTTTCTAGTTCTGTGATGAATACTGATCATGTTTGGATTAGGAGAGTTTTGTAGTATGGCCACCAATTATGAAAGAGTTTTGTAACTTTCTGAACAGAACTCCAATGGCACAGAAATAATACCAAGAGTCTACAAATGGGATCATATAAAAATAAAAGGCTTCTACACAGCAAAGGAAACAACCAAGAGCGTAGAAAGCCTACAGAACAGGGAAAAATTTTTGCCAGCTATTTCACAGACAGAGGACTAACATGAGAAATATATAAAGAACTCAAAAAAATTAAGACCGCCCCCAAATAAAAGACCCAATCAAAAAATGGGCAACTGAAATGAGTAAGACACTCTTCAGAAGAAGTACAAATGGCCAACAAATACATAAAAAATGTTTAACATCACTGGCCACCAAGGAAATGCAAATCAAAACTATACTGAGATACTTGCTTAGTCTAGAAAGAAGGGCTATCATCAAAAACTAATACTATAATAATAAGTGCTGGTAAGACATGAGGGAAAAGGAACTGTTTGGTGGGAATGTAGGGTCTATGGAAATCAGTATAGAGATTCTTCAAAAAACTGAAAGTAGAAATTCCATTTGACCTAGTTATACACCTCCTATGCATCTTCCCAAAAGGGTTAAAACCAGCATATTACAGAGATACATGCAAATCCATGTTTACAGCAGAACAATTTATAATAGCAAGGTCTCAGAAACAGGGTGTATGAAAATTGACAGACAAATGGATAAGGAAAATATGTTATTTACACATAATGAAGTACTATGCTGCCACAAAGAAAGATAAACTTTGGACATTCATAAGCAAATGGATGCAACTTGAGAACATAATGCTAAGTGAAGACATACAAGCTCAAATATTGCATGATTTCTCTTATATGAGGAATAGCAAAACAGAAGAGAAATAGGAAGTAGAGAGAAGTTCAAATCCTTCCCCAAGTTACACATTCCATTGTTTTAAAAATATTTCATTATATATCCTAATTTGTTTCATTTACACTAATTGTTTATCTTAGTTCAATGAAAAGAAAGTTTGTTATTATGTTTCTTTTTTAATAAAGAATCTTTTTGGTTTATGTCTTGTACTGAGTACTTTCAAGATGATACACAGTATAATGACTATTGTTATTCTCTTATTATTTGGTTATGAAAAATGTTTTGTTTTTGTCATAGAATTAAAAAAAAATTTAGAAAAAGAAATCAAATAACAAATGCTGGGGGCTGGGGATTTAGCTCAGCAGCACAGAGCCTGCCTGGCAAGCACGGAGGTCATAAGTTCGATTCCCAGTATTGGAAAAAGAAAAAAACAAACAAACAAACAAAAAATGCTGGAAAGGCTGGTAGGAAAAAAAACCTCTTGTATGTTGTTGGTGAGAATGTGAACTAATACAGCCACTATGGAAATCAGTATAGAGACTGTGCGAAAAACTAAAAATTGAAATTCTATTCAACCCAGCTATTTCCCTTCTAGATATCTCCCTAAAAGAGTCAAAGACATCATATGCATGCCCATGTTTATAACAGTACAACTTATAACAGCTAAATTCTCAGTTGCCTTTATGTCCATCAGCCAACGAATGGACGAAGAAAATGTACTTAGACACAATACAGTGGTACTCTACCATAAAGAAAGATAAATGAGTCATTTGTAGGAAAATGGATGCATCATGAGACAATAATGCTAAGCAAAAAAATCAGACAAACTCAATTTCACATGGTTTCTCTAATGTAAGAAACTCAAAGTATAAATGACTTTAAAAAACGGGGACCTGTTAACATATGTGTGTTTTATTTTCTTAAATATATACCTGTATGTAAAGCACAGGATGTTTTTGTTCATCATTATATAAATAGAGACCACTATAAATATTTACTATGCTATGACACAAAAACTCATTCTGCAGGAGTCACTATAGGACACCGCAAAAAAAAGGGCAGTGATTCTCTAATAAAACTGAAACAAAGGTAAAACTGTTTTGTGGCCAGTCAAAGGAACTATGACATACATATTAATGCTATCATCAGAGAAAACTTTTTTTTTTTTTTTTTCAAATTTAAACCCCAAAGTCACAAATGAAAATAGCAGACATTTGGAGTAGCAGGTACTGATTGCAACTGACCTATTTCTCCCACAGGCAACTCCATGCAGCACAATCCAAGGTCAAAAGCAACACTGATTTCATATTTTAAATCTACAGTGGCCCAGCCTATTTAATAAATAAACAACAAATCCATGTCTGGCTAATCTTCTATTTTATGCAAAAACAAATTTTCTTTATATACCTCTATTATGCATACTTACCGCCAACATTTTGCTGGTCCAATGAAAGTCCAGCCTGGGGAAATGACACAGTGGACATTGCAAAATTTTTTCTATTCCTAAAAAGTCAAGATAATTAATAAAAATAAACTGTCAAGTGGAAAGAAAAAAAACTACTTCTTGTTGAAGTAGAATTTAAACCATTTTTTAATTTAAGAGCTTTCCAAATAAGACCTCTTTTTTTTTGCTACACTATTCCAACTTTTATAGTATCAATTTAAATGACAGCAAAAATGAAGGACAGAACTGAAAAACTAATGGGTGAATCCAGGTTTATAAACAATCTGAAACATGTCTGAAAGCAAATTTTAAAATGACTATCTGTCAGACAGGTAGTAGGACTAAAGCAAAACTTACTAAGGAAAACAAGTTTCCTCAACCTTAAGCAGTTCCTCTTTAGACTTTCCCCTCCCTAAGGCTGCTGCTAAGTTACAAAACTGTTACTGCTTAATTAACTGCCTTTGTCTCTTCCAAAAATTTGCTTGCCCACCCACCAGTTTCACACCACTGGATAGACCAACTCCTTTGACCACTTGCATAATACTAGAGCCCTTTCTTTGTTTGGGGTTTAGCCTTTAGACACAGAATCCTCCTGTTTCACCCATTGGTCTCTCTGGTCTCTTAAAATCCCACAGGAGAATCAAGGAGAAAACTGTACTGAATAGTGTAGCTTGGCTTTCTATATCCTCAAATACAGCTTGTCATAGTTTTGTGTATAAGTATTATAGTTTTAGATATAAATGAAAGTCACTAATAAGAAATTTCTCAGATATTCACAACAGGGTAGGAAAAGACAAAAATACAAGAACAAAGAGGCTGAAAGCAAAGTAAAGGTCATGCCTAATCTGTAATTTTGATCCTTCACCTTTAGATAATTTTAAGTTTATTGAAGAAAGACAACCCGCTATTTTTTCAACCTAATATACTGCACTGATGTAATCAAGACACCTTATTTTTACAAAATGCCTCTTCTTCAGATGTTTTAAGTGTAGTTTTTATGCACCAGGCTTAGACACCTAAATCCTAAGCAAGAATAATAAACTGAGCATTCTCTCTTTTCCAAAAACAGAATAAATGTAATTCATCTTGCAAACTGAAACCACTCACATAGAATGATAATTTCTATGAGGTAAACAGAAAACAACATTGACCATTTTCTAAAATGTGATTTCTTGAAAACAAAATAAAGGCACAATGTGAACCAGTAGAGGATATTCTTCCTTGAATTGCAATTTAAGATATAAGTCTGAAAATATAGCAAAGCTTCATCTACATTATTTTAAATAGTTACTTCGAGTAGACAACACTGCATATGATCTAAATGTCCAATTACAGGGGCTGGGGATTTAGCTCAGTGGCACAGCGCCTGCCTGGCAAGTGTGAGGTCGTGAGTTCAATTCCCGGTACCGGAACCCCCCCTCCAAAATGTCCAATTATAAATGAATGATTAAACACAATAGTTAGTACATGTAGCACAATTGGGGCTGGGAGGCTCCTCCTCTCTACCCACTTGAATTTGGGCAATACCCCAGGGATAATCCTCCTTCCATTGTTCTAAGAGAAGTAGAAAATAAAATAACAAAGATTTAGGAAATCTCTGAGGTTCCAGGCCAGAGTACACCTGGCCTAAAGTTCAGGGACCTTCCCCACCACCTCAAACCTCAAGGTTCATACACATGGAGTGCACCTCATGTATGTAACTGAATTATAGTATACTCTGTGACACACATTCATGTTATGATGCCCCAGAGATGACTCAGCACCCTGTAAATCATATCCAATGAAAGGCACCCAGGCTGGAGTGCACATCTTTTAAAATCCACAAGCCTGATTTATCTGTGTGCTGTAGTTTTCATTTTACTGTTGTCCCAATACCACTCTTCTATTCATGTCTGTTGTGGTTGATACATTGTGTCAACGTGGGGAGTCTAGAGGTTTGGCTAAGTGACTCAGCAGGAAGCCAGGTTGCTTACTTTGTATACATCCTGAGCCTGTGGAAGAGGAGGGCATGGAAATTATGTGAGAGCTACATGCCCCTTAGGTGGGGGTAGCCTGTTTACAATGTAAGGGAGGGAAAGAAGCTGCTTGCCACCATTCCTCCCTTTCGCTCTGGCTGCATTGCTGTTCGGCGGCCATTCCCCCCTTTGCTCTTGTTGCTTTGCTATCTTCTGCCTCGGAACCAGCCAAGTATGGACTGAAACCTCCACAAACTGTAAGCTAAATAAACCTTTCCTTAATTTTGGGCATTGGGTATTATGTCTCAGCAACGAGAGAAAAGTAACCAAGACAATGTAGAACTTTTTATTTATGCTGGCATGGGTCTAGCATGCATCTTCTTGTTATCTTCAATAAATGTAGCTGCTTTTTCTTTTTACCATTGGGTGTACACTTGCAATTTTATGCACATCATACAGAAGAGACTGGAATCTATCTGTTGGTATCATAGTCATACAGGTAATTATGAGGTCATTAAAATTCATGTGTTTAAAAACATTAATGACATTAGAAAATAACTATGAGAAACTATTGAAATTTTTTAAAAAGATGCAAATTTGTGGGGTGATCCCAATTATGTAGAAACCATGAACAACAACAAACCACACACACACACACACACACACACACACACACACACACACATATATATAGAAAGAGAGAGAGAGAGAATCATGTAATCTTCCTTGGTCTTTTTTCCACTTCAGTAAACTAGCTTATATTGCTAATATATTGGTAAGAACGTTATTTTACAAAAATGGTTCTAAATTTTTATCTTTTATACTCTTAAAATCACTGAAGATCGCAGCTTTTATGTGGTTTATATTTACTTATACTTATTTTTTAAATATAAAAATTAAAACAAAGAAAAGGTTACACATTTGTTAATTTTAAAATGACAATAACCTAGTAATATGTTAACATATTGTTTTGAAAAATTATACTTTCAAAATGAGAAAACAATTCAGTGAGAAAAGTTGCAGCAGTGCTTCATATTTTTTTTTAAAAATCTCTACATTTGTATGGCTTAATAGAAGACAGCTACCATCTTGTATCTGCTATTGCATTCAATCCATTGCCAAGTATTATTTTGTTGGAAGCATGTAACAAAAAGCTGGCCACATACAGAAGGTAAGAGTATTTTATCAGTTTCTGTATAATCATGGATATTCATTATTGACATTACACCAAAATTCTACATGACAGGATTATTAAAAGTTGCTTAAATAGTATAAACTGAAACAAATTTAATGAACTTCTTAGTTGTTAATCTAAAACTGATGGTTCTTCTCAAACTTTGAATGGATCTTTTACCTTTGCATGATTTTGTAACATCACGCACTGGTTGATCTTTTAAGAAATACTGCTTGATTCAGTTTTAGGGATCTAATTTATTTCAAAACACCTTTGTAAATTTCACCCGTGTTCTCATCAGAATATCAGAAAACTGGAAAGCTATCATGAAGAAATGATGGGCACAAGTTTTCTAAAATTCTAACTTGAATGCTTCAACTTTTGCATTCCTACCCACTGTTTTCTTTGAAGTAACCAGCTTACTCATTTTCAAGAAATTATCTGCCATATGACCAACAATGAATCACCAATTTGTCAATTATAAAAAGGAAAACTAGTTTTCTTACAATATTTATAGCTCAAAAAAGTGCATTTCTGGGGGGCTGGGGATTTAGCTCACTGGCAAAGCGCCTGCCAGGCAAGCGCAAGGTCATGAGTTCGGTTCCCGGTATCGGAGAAAAACCCAAAAAAAAAAAAAGTGCATTTCTGGTCTCAAGACTACCTCATACTTCATTCAGTATTGAGAGGGTGCTTTAAGCACACTTCCCTTTTCATCACACAGAATACTAAAAAGATACATACTCAAAAGTGAATGCTGATAAAACCAATCATTTTTCTGCTTTATCAAATACAGCCGTAAGTAAAACTGGCTTTTTTAAAAAACTGTGAGTACATATAAGAAACAAGATGACTACGAGCAGTGTTTGGTACCACCACCCTGATTCCTATTAGGACTCCAGCAATTTACCCACCAGTGCTTTTTTCATGGTGAATACCATGAAAAGAGACAAATGATGTTAGTGTCATTATGAAAATAGTTTTGACCTAACAGGCACTCTAAAAGAATCTCAGGAACTCCCAGGGAATATTAGACTGCACTTTGAGAAGCATTGTTTTAAAAGAACTGAAAGAATAAAGTCTCTTAAAGTGTAACAGTTGCACAAAGTCTAATTTCAGTAAACTCTACAAATTCTTCCTTTATGCTATAAATTGCTTTTAATAATATTAACAGACAGAATCAAATTAATCTGATTCAATCTTTCTTATGAAATGAAACTTAATTAGAACATTTGAAAAACAATATATACTTATTCTACTACAGGTAATTATTCAAAAAATACACAATAATTTGCAGTGCAAATTAAATCCCATCATGGAATGAAGCAAAAAATGTGTGTACTTACTGTAACACATCTTCATTTTGTGCTGTTTCATCTTGAGGTTGCTAAGAAAAAAAGGGGTTTATTTTTGTTTTTTTTTCTCCAATTGATACATGCTAATTTAATGCAACATGTTAAAAAATATCATTTAAGAATATTCTTATGTCACTCTTCTTTTTGTAACAGTAAAATATACTTAAAATTTACCATCTTACCTATTTTTAATTTTATCACATTAAACGTTGTAAAACCATTACCACGATTCATCTCCAGGGTTCTGTGTCTTTCAAACTGAAATTCAATACAGGTTAAACACAAAATACCCATTACCTTAGCCCCTCAACCAGGGCAACTGCCATTCTACATTATGTCACTAGGAATATTATGTGAGTGTAACCAGCACTGCAAAACGAAACTTCAAAAGTTAAATTTTTTTCCTTTAGAGAAAAGTGGCTTCTTCAAGCTTCCTTGAGCCAGGTATAAACTGCCATGCCTACTTCTCCTCAGTTCGGATGAATGGACAGAAAATGCAGGTGCTGACAGCTGGTGTTATAGTAGCACAATGGGGGCTGGGAGGCCACTCCCTTCCACTACTTGAATGTGGGCAATATCCCAGAGCCAGTTCTCCTTTCACTGTTCTGAGAGAGGCCAAAAAATACTTAAATACTTTTGACAATGCACATGGCTTTGTGCTTCCTAGAAGTCCCCTCCACAGCACCACTGCTCTTCCTCTTGCCTCTGGACATCCTGGGCTCTGACTAAGCACTGCACTACTGTATACCATCACATTGTATGGTAAGCATACAACAGCACAACTGTGACAATGACGGGAAGAAACACATGAGCTACTTCCACAATCTGTTTGCATCTACGAATGTTCTTTTGTACCTGTGAAAATTCGCAACTCAAATGTTAGTAAGTCGAGGACTTACTGTTTAATAACAAAGACCCAGGAAATCTCTGAGGCTCTAGGCCACAGCACATATGTATGAGATCTCCTCACCTGACCTTCAGTAAGCTTTTCTCCACTCTAACCTTGTTAAAGGTTAGTAAATATGAAATACATCTCATACAAGTAATTTGATCAGAGCTAACTCTGGGACATACTTGCTGGCTGGAAGCCCTTGAAATGACTAAGCACTCTGTCAATCATTCCTGTCAATCTTTTCTAGAGACTCAGTGACAGGTACTCAGGCTGGAGTGCACATCTTTCAAAATCCAAAAGCCAGATTTATTTGTGTGTTGGGCTTTTTATTTTCCTATTCATTGACACCATTTTTCCGTTTGTGCCATCCGTTTTGTGGACCTGCCCTGAGCAAACTTCCCATTATCTTCAACAAATACAATTGCTTTTTCTTGTTACCATTCGGTGTACACTTGCAACTTTTTACTTGTCATACACAAGAGCCTTTAATTTATCTGATGGATCTGGCATGAGACATCAAAAGTCCAGTTTCATTTCCACAGGGAAAGGAGATCTGGGTCCAGGGAGGGATGAAACAAGCCTGGGCAAGTCTACTCCTTAACTTTTTTCCCTCCCCATCTGTTTCTTGCTATGGAAGACTGTAACACACCTGTATACCTTGAGATGGTGATTTGGGTGGTGAGACTCCTCCATTTCCTTGCAGCTAGCTTTGAATAAATCTTTTTTCCTTTTTAACAAAATAAATGGCCTTCTTTGATTTGGTCAGCAAAGAGCAAAACAGACCTAAGAGGATCATACAGTATTTCATCATTTTTTATTAGCTTATATCATACAGTGCAGTTCACGGATCAGTTCACGGATGCTTTCGTTTGTGAACAATTAGGTTTGTGAACTGAGGTATTTGTCAAAACTGTTTACAAACTCTGCATCAAGTGATGAAGAGGACCACAGGCATCTTTCCTGCACAAACATGAACATGGCCATCTTTTCCAGAATCGCAGAATGAATTAAGTTCATAAACCAAGATACCACCACTTCTTCAAGAGTCATCCATGTTGTAGCATGTATCAGTGTTTCTTCCTTTGTAAAGGATGAATAATTTTCCTTTGCAGGTATGTACTCCATTTTTATTTACCCTTCCATCACTAACGGACCTTTGCATAATTTCTGCCCTGTTCTGCTGTTGTGAACAATATAGTAAAAGATGCTTTTATGTCTTTCAAGTATATACTCCAAAGTGGAGCTGCTAGGTCACATGGTAGTTCTGCTTTTAATTTTTTGAGGAATCCACCATAATATTTTCCACAATGGCTGTACCATTTTACATTCCTACCTCTAAAACAAAACGTTTCAATTTCACCACATCCTTGCTGTAAGAAACTTAATCTTGTTCATTTTCAAGCCAAAGTAGCTAGCTCTGAGTGAAAAATTAGCTAATAGCCTGGGTAGCTAACAGCCTGCGGATGTGACAAACTGCATGATCCATGTACCTCAAAACGATGTTGGGGAAGGGATAAAACCAACAAGAAAGCCTTCTGTGTTGAAAAATACAACCATTAGCCAAAGGAAGAAGGGAGGTAGGGAGCGGATAAGGGAAGACAAGGGCATTTAGGAGACATCTGGGATAACTGTCCATTCCTATTACGCAGCTAACCAAGAAAGAGACCTGCACTTCAGAGATAAAAACTCTGTAACTCCCCTGGTGTGCCTGCAATCTGGCAGACACCCTTGCCCTAAGATTTAAGTTTCACCTCCACCACACTCTTTGTCTCCAAGTATGTTCTTTAAAATTGGGCAGAGTGTGTTTCTCACAATTGCCAACACTTAAGTTCTGTTCCTTTCTAAGTAAGCTATTTTCAAAAAAATAGTGCAAAATGGTATCTCAAAGTAGTTTTATTTGCATTTCCCTAGTGATTAATGGTGCTGAGCATCTTTTCATGTGTTTATTGGTCATCCGTATAGTTTCTTTGGTTAAATACCTATTGAATCCCTTTGTCCATTTTTTTAGTTAGTTTGCTCTTTGTTGGTGCATTGTAAAAATTCTTTATCTGGATATTAATCTTTTATCAGGTGTATTTGCAAACCTTCACTCCTATACCATGGAAACCTTTTAACTCTGCTCATGGGATCCTCTGGTGCACAAAAGTTTTTCATTTTCATTGTCTAACCTATCTGTTCTTTGTCTGTACTTGTGGTATTGTACTAGAGAAATAAATCATTGTCAATTTCAATGCCATATTTTCCCCTTGTTTTCTAAGAGTTGTTTATTTTTCGCTCTTAGGTCTCTAACTTTTTTCTATAAAAGAACCTGTGACTCTTAAATGAAGAGAAAGTTGAGTGTTCCTTTTTTATTCTTAGTTTTTCCTCTCTTCATGACTCATGATTCTGAGGTGCCATTTTTATCAAGTTGTAAGTTATAATACTATCTCTAAGGATCAGAAATCATACTATCTTAATGCTAAGTTCTCAAATTATGTCACAAAATCTGTAATTGTTGTGTCTCTTTCAAATAAAGATGAAATTCACTGATAAAAATGCTTCCATTTTAGGATTTTAAAGCATACTAGCTTTCATCACTTTAAAAAGAATTGTTACTCTGTTGCTACTCTCAGACTTTACAAAACTCAAGAGACCCACAGATGAAAAGGAATTTCATCAAACAAACCTAAAATTCCCAAACATTAGTTCAACAGAGTGTAGAAGGGCTATCAAAAATATGGTGTTTAGATTAAAAAATTATTACAGTAAAAGACACAATGCCATTAATTCCCCTCAAAATACTCTTTCATTTCAAACACTCTTATCCCATTGTTCTTGCCACTTTCTGAAGCAGTTCTGGAAGTCCTCTTTTGTGTGAGTATCTTTACAAGGTGTGATTAAAACAGGGAATGCTGCTGCCAAGGGCCATGCAACAGAAAGGGAGGCTTGTAGAAACATGGTGTGTCTTCATACACCTTCTTCACTGGATCTCACACAGTGCAACTTCTGGCTCTTCCCCACAATCAAAATGAGCAGTAAGGTAAACATTTTGAACAGATGTAGGAATCAACTTAGCCATGACAGTACAACTAAATAAGGATACTCATACAATAGGTATGTTAAGATATATGCTGTGCATATACATAAAATCTCTCCATAAACTCTGATCTTCTCTAACCTTGATCCTTCTTCTATTACGTGCTCATCAAAACAAGTCTACTGATTCCATCTTCATAACCAATAAGAATGAATAAAAAAGGCTGTAGAAAGGGAAAGAATTCAACCTTGATTCACATCTCTCAGATAAAAAAGTCCTGCATGTCAGAAAGTAGAAGGTGGAAAAAGTGGCCTGTTCATAATTATTGTAGGATTGAATAATCGCTATTCTCTCTCAAACAAGTATCTTATAGATGTCCTTTGATTATGGGACTAGAGCTATCTACTCTTTATTAAGGGATCTCCAGAGAAAAGAACCAATAGTATATGTATATACAGGAAAACAGATTTATTATGAGGAGGTGGCTCTTGCAATTATGGATTCTAAGCCCAAATCTGCAGTCTAGGTTATCAGGTTTGGGATCCAGAGTCAAAGGTGCATTATTGTATGAAGGCCAGCAGACAGAAACAGAATAGCTGATGATACAGATGAAATCTGAAGACCACTATTCAAAAAGCACTGATGATTCAAATGAGGTGTAAAGGCAGTTTTCTGAAGAATTCTCTCTGCCCGAATAAGAAGGCATTTTTGTGCAGTTCAGGCTTTCAACACACTGGATGAAGCATACCCACAAGATGGAAGGCAATCTGTTTTACTCAAGACCACTGATTCAAATGCTAATCTCATCAAAAACATCTTCATAGAATATTTGACCAGTTATCTGGATATCCCATAGCCAAGCCAAGATGACACACAGAACTATCACATGTACTATTTTGACAGATCCAATGTTTCCAGTTATCTCTCCAGACATACCACTAAGCTCGCCAAAGAAAATAAAAATTTATCCACAAAAATTTAAAAACTGTAAAAACTTAAAAGCCATGTAAAAAAGCTAGAAAAGGTATTGCAAGGCCCCAAAATATAATAATGAATATGCAATTCTTTTGCCTGTATTTTAAAAGATTAGCACAGTTTCAGTCAATGCAAAGATCCTCAATTTCTTCTTGTTTATCCTTATTTAAAAGTAGCACATTATTTCTTTTTTCGTTTGTTTGTTTGTTTTTTTTTTTTTTCCGGTACCAGGAATCCAACTCATGACCTCCTGCTTGCCAGGCAGGCACTGTGCCACTGAGCTAAATCCCCAACCCCTCATTATTTCTAAAATATTCTTTTTTGAGATTGAAATACCATCTGGTATCTGAGTAGTTAGGTAGTTATGTATTTACAAATCTTAGTAACTATTTAGAATTTATTTAGAAATCTAGTTTGTTATAAAGACGTATCTTTTCCTTTCAAATAACTGTTAAAAGTGCCATCTCAGAGCTTTCCACTTCTATAGCTGATAAAATCAATTGTTCTCATATAAATTTCAAAAGGTTTACTGCCATAGAATAAAAGTAAAAAGTCGCTAAAAGTAGCAACATGTCAATTTAGAAAACAATGCTAAAACTTGTAACAGATGTTAAAACATTGTTACATTGTCTAATTTGCACTGTAGACAGAAAAGAAAGTAGAGGTACAGGGGAAAGTTAAGTGATGTATCTAGTTTTCCAGTGAGAATGAAAAAAGAGAGTATATTAAGTACTTCACTTATTCTTCTCATCCTAATTTTAAAACAAACCCATAATCATCATGTCTTAGTTACTTCTTTGTTGCTAGGATAAAATACCCAATATCCACAAGTTAAAGGAGGAAAGGTTTATTTTAGCTCATAGTTTATAGAATTTTCAGTCCATGGCTGGTTGGCTCCAAGGCAGGGTGGCATGGCAGTGGGTGACTACAGGGGACAAAGTCTATGAGAGGGCAGGCAGGAAGCAGTAAGAAGCAGCCTGCTTTCTTTTCTGTCCCTTTACATTCCATTCCAGCTAGAAGCCTATTGGTTGACACCACCCACAACCAGGTTTGGCCTTCCATTATCCACACCCACATCAGAACTACATCCTAGATCCAGCCACTTCCCAAAAGCTACACCTACAAGCACATGAGGCTCTGGGAGTGGGGGCATCTAGATATAAACCATAGCATACCAGATGACTTATTCACTATCTGGTGACAAACTTCTGAGAGACACATTCATTAACTCTTCAAATCTTCTTGATACATTCATGAATTTTTCAGTAATCCAGGCAATCGTTCCAACTGACTGATTATCAGAAATAACTTGGGAGGATTTCAAAAAATGGACATTCCTAGGTTCTATTCAAGTATAGGTCTAGGAATCCCTATTCTTTAAAAGTAAACCAAAGGAAGCCACACGGTGGGGAATGCTGGCCTTCAGGAAGGCCCCCAGCCTCACAGGTGCCCAGGAGGAGGGTCCCCAGTGCCAGGAAGCTGTGCGGGCATGCCGGCCCTCAGGCCAGCCGCCTCTGCACAACTGAGAACTATCGTGGCACAGAGAAGCAATGACACAATTAGCCCACCACGCACCGGCTGCGGAGGCCTGCTCGGCGACCTGCATGAATCATTCTGACATGGAGAAACGAATACATGCCACACAGTGGGTTGCTCTTACTACAGGCATTGAGAACCAGAAAGGTCCAGTCAGTGGAGAAGTGGCTGCTGAACAAGGACTTGGAGAACGTGAGAATACAGACTAAGCCCGAAGAGTCAGAGGTCTAGTGGACCGGCATCACAACAGCCATTTGGAAGCTGTAAACCAGGAGGACCTTGTGCAATACCTGGGGAGACTCCCTGGAAGCCATTCTTCCCCTGACAGCACAGGCTGCAGTGGAAGAATGCATGGAGCCCTGGAGAGGTCTGCACCAAGATTCCTACTGCCTGTGCTGATGGCTGGGGAGAGGACACTAAGTGGTTGAGGGGTCCCAATGCAATGGGAGGCTGGAAAGAAAAATCTACAAGAAATGGCTTTCGCCTCAGATGGCTCACTTGAGATGTTAGTAAGAATTGCCTCCTCAGTATTCTATAGCTGTGATGAGGAGGAGGCCAAGGAGAGAAAACAAAGAGACCGAGAAAAAGCAGCTGCTTTTGCTGCGGAACTAAGAGAAACAGACCCTAAGTCTGATTCTTGGGGCCCCAAGAAGAACTTGACAACTGCATTCATCTGCTACTGATATTAGAAGCCAGACCACTTCAAGAGGAACTGCCCTAAGAAGTCCCCTGGGCCATGCCCTGAATGCAAAGGTGACCCCTGGAGATCAGTCTGCCCTCTGAAGCAGAGGCCCCAGAGCTCAGACCCATCCTACCAGTTAGTCCAACAGGAATGAGGTGGCCCGGGGCATACTCTGCCTTCTCCCTCTGGCCAGACTGTCATCTCCATAGAGGAGCCCTGGCTAATCATGACTATGGAGCAACAAGAAAACAGCCTGTTGCTAGACACAGGTGCAAGTCTTTCAGTCCTTCTTTTGAGTCCTGGCTTTCCTTCCAGCTGTCATACCTCAGTGAAGGGAGTCACTGCTGAGGAGGTAATACACTATTTTTGACATCCCTTAGGCTGTAACTACTTGTTAGATCCTTCTTGCATATCTCTGTCTTCCTGAGAAACCACTTTGAAGATACCACCATGTATTACAGCAGCCATTGGTATTTTCCTACTAATCTGTCCATAATTCTGTAATGTCTGTATTGTTCCTATGCTATTTTGTAAATGGATGTATGTTTATTATTATGTGTTTCCTACAACAACCATTGAGAATAGTTAATGATTATTCAATTGGTCTATTTATTTTCTTTAGAAGCCACTTTGAAGATACCAAAGTATAGTACAACTACTGATAATCTCCTACTACTTTTTGTCTGTAACTCACTATGTTTTGTTTATTTGTTTTCCTGAGATACTATCTTGTAGATAACAATATGTAAAACAACAACCATTGATAATTTCCTACCAGTTTGTCTGTAATTTGGTAAGCCCCTCCTATTACTGTTATCCTTCTTTTACTCTTTAAAATAAAAAATAAAAAATAAAAAAAATTAGAAAAAGTAAAAAAAAGTAAACCAAAGCAGTTTGATAGTATTTAGAACTGAGGGCCTAGCATGACAATTATACAGCAAATGCTTATAAAGCAAGTGGAAAAATATTTCAAATTTTACAGTTACTCTGATAAACTGAGGTGTTGATGTGAAGAAAAAAAAACTACCCAGCTGATTGGTTTATCATAGTTCTGGGTATGACTGAATGGAAGGCCCACCCCTTCAGTATTAGGGGCATTAACAAAAATCCTTGTAACCTGAATGCAACACAATTAAAAGAGGTCTTGCTTCTGTTTCTCTGGAGGGGCTCCAGTCTTTGCCATTGCCTTTGGATGTCCACTTCCAGGCTTTCAGCATGGACTCTTCAGCTTTTCAGAACAGATCCTCTGGCTTCCTAATATACTCTCACACAGGACTTTGCAGTGAGCACCAGGCCTTGAGTCTTGACAAGATCTTTGATGGATCTTTGGATCTCCAGCAAACAGATGGCCCTTTTGCATTCTTTTACACCTGACTCTAACAGGTGACCTACACCAACCGGTAACAGTTACTGAAGATAGGGGTAAAATGTTTTTTCTTTACTCAAAAGTTGCAATACAAATTTTTAAACATATTATTAGAAGCCAAATATAAGTATCAGTTAAAAAAAAAAAACTTAGTGAATTTCTCTCTTTTTATCAGAGATAACCATGTAATAAACCTTCCTGGCTAGGATATTAAACAGTCTCCCAGAGTCATACTATGGAACTGCTCTCAGTTTTGTTAAGCAGGTATCTCTGGATGGCTAACAAAATTATGCCAAAGTGCTAACTGGCATATGGTAAATACCTTACTTTTTTTCATAGTGTTTGCATTTAAAAGAAACAAAAATTGTTAGGTATGTGTGGTCTACATCTGAAATTGTGTGGTCACACAATTTAGTGGTCTACATCTGAAATTATACCACACAGCTTAGTGTCTTCTTCACAAATTTAAAATGATTTCTAACATAAAATAAAGATGAAAATTGCAATTGTCATATCCCATTTTAACCTCTGTTCTTTTCATTTTCACAATTCAACCAGAAAAATAAAGCCATGTGGGAGGTTAATCCTTTTTCCTAAAACAACTAGTCTTTATCAAGTTAGAGCAAAAAAAAAAGAGGGTAAAAACTGATAGGAAAAGAAGCAAAATACCAGATAAAGAGACTTGTCATTAGCAATCTGCCACTTTGAGAAACAGCATTTCTTATTTTTAATACATATTCAGCCAACACGCTACATACCTGCAACACTGAATCCTCACTCAGAATGGGCATCATTTTATTTTCATTCATTTGCTGTGAGTTATCTCTGAGTTTGCATCCAAGTTGAATCTCAGGAGAAGGTGCACCTAGAATGAAATATAATCATAAATTTTCACTGGTTTTATTGATCTGCTTTAACAATAAGTCAGTGACACTCAAATGACACTGCAAAATGTCATTAAAAATCATTCTGTAGCTGGGTGCAATGGAACATACCTGTAATATCAGGTAGTGGTAAAGTGCCTCTGGGTTCAAAACCCAGTTTCAAACACACACAAAAATCATTTTGTAAGGGCTAAGGAGTTAATTATGTTTGGATGAGTTCATGAGAATGGAGCCCTTGTAATGGGAATTATAAAAAGGAAAGCCTAGATCTCGCTCTCCTGTGAGCACAAAGAAGAGGGCATGTGAGCCGACAGCAATATGGCAGCTGTCTGCAAGCCAGAAAGAGGGTCATCAAGAACTAAATCTTGGGCCAGGTTTAATGGTGCATGCCTATAATCCTAGCACTTTTGAGGCTGAGGCAGGAGGATCACCACAAGTTTGAAGCTAGCTTTTGCTACACAGTGAATTCAAGACCAGCCTGAACTACATAGTGAGACCCTGTCTCAATGAAAAACAAGTATTATTTTTAAAAAAAATGAATCTCTCAGCAGCACCTTTACCTTGAACTTCCCAGCTTCCATAACTTAGAAAATAAGTGTGTTTATGTGTGTGTATCTAAGAATATAATAAATGACAACAATGGCATTTTAAACAGATTATGCTTTCTCATACCAGAGAGATAATTGGATATTTACACATCTGTCCAGTTTACTTCACATATGATTATAGCTCAAGGTCCATCCATTTAGCTATAAATGTCCCAATTTTATCTTTATGGCTGAGTAATATTTCATTATATAAAAAAAGACATCTTTTTTTTATCCATTCATTGGCCGATGGGCATTTGGGCTGTTTCCAAGATTTAGCTATGACAAACTGTGTCACTATAAACACAGGTGCACATATATCGTTGTGGTATGATGCTTTGAATTCTTCTGGGAAGATACCCAGAGGGAGAATAGCTAGGTCAGACAGGACCTCTGGTCCTAGTTTTTTGAGGAATCTCCACACTGAAAATATAAGTGACAACAAAAATGTGCAATAGATATTGTGAATAGGAAGAAACTGTTCAAAAGTAAAAGGGAACTAGGGAGGGGGGAGGATGAAAGGAAAGAAGGGGAAAAATGAGAAAATGATAAAATGAGAACAGCTCTGTGAATGGGGAGGGGAAGAGGATTTGAAAGGAGGGGAAAGAAATGGGAAAAAAAAGAAGAATCCAAATATATCATGCACAGATACAAATTCCCTATAATGAATGTGATCATTATGTAGACCTAAACTGTATCAATAAACTTAAAAGAAAAAAAATTTTTAAATAAAAATAAGGAGATTATCAATTACTTAGTAATACTTAAGTAACTAGTTAACCATTTGAAAAAATACAGCCTTTCCTTTCCCATATGCCAAGCTATTTCAGACATATTCAGCATATAAATGAAAATAAAGATAAAAATATATTTTATAGTTTTGAAGTAGGTAAAATATTTTAGTTTGACAAAAAAAACAAGAAACCCTTAGAGGGAAGACTGATAGATAGGATACACAAATACTTAAAATTTCTTCAAAATAAAATATTTCATGCATAACATTAAAAGATAACCAAGAAATTACTGTATGTACAGTAAACCATGACACAAGCTCGCTATCTTTAATATATAAATGATCTTATAAATCAATAACAAAATGAAAATACTTAGGAAACATGCAACTCAAATACAAATAAACTATAAATAATATATTGATGTGCATGAATTTGTCCTGTGTTGGACATAGAGAGTAAGAGCTGCCTTTTTAGTGGTCATATATATTAAAAGCTGACATAGTTATACCCGTTCACAGAAATCTTCTTTCAGGTGGTTATTCTATGGTAATAATCACAAAAGTAGGCAACAGTCCAAGTATTAGGATAGTAACATTTATAATAGTACTGAGAAACATCAGAATATCATTAATTCATTAAATAAGGTACAATTATAGGATGGTATAATTTTAAAAGTTGAGGTAGACTCCTTTGGTGCAGAGCTGGTACCTTTTTCTACACAGCAGCCACTGGGGAGACATGCCACTTGCTGTGGCAATGGAAAACCAACAAAGGAGTCAAGACTGAGAACCATAATCTTACTGATTTGCTGAAGGTGGAAGAGGATGGTTCTATGGTACAGCTTAAAGTTAAGAGGCACACATGACCTAGTAAATTCATGAAAGCCTATTGTGAATAGGGTTGACATTTAAGCAGCCAATCAGTGAAAGAGACACATCTGGACTGGTACAAGTGGAGGATGAAGATACAATTGAACACCAGTAGTAGAAAGCAAGTGTTTATTTAAAATAAAACTAGCGGGGCTGGGGATTTAGCTCAGCGGCAAAGCGCCTGCCTGGCAAGCGCAAGGTCGTGAGTTCGGTTCCCGGTACCGGAGAAAAACCAAAAAAATAAATAAATAAATAAAATAAAATAAAACTAGCTACTTTACTATGGAACACTACACACTTTAAGAATACATTCTCAATTAAAAACAAACAATTTGGCTGGGTGTGCTGGTACATGCCTATAATCCCAGCACTCTGGGAGGCTGAGGTAGGAGGAGGGAAGTTCAAACCCAGCCTGGGCAATTTAGTGAGACTATGTTTCAAAATTAAAAAGAATGCCAGGCATGGTGGCACATACCAGTAATCCCAGCACTTGGGAGGCTAAGTAGGAGAGTCACTGTGAGTTTGAGGCCAGCCTTGGCTACACGGGCACTATCTCAAAAAATTTAATTAATTAAATGTTAAAAAAAATAAAAACAAGGATATGTATATAAAATGGTTTTTCTTAACTAAATAGCCAATATGTATTTTGATCAAAAACAGATGGAGTTGGTGTATTAGGCACCTGTCTCATCATTGAGACATGATACCCAACACCCACAACTTATGATGGGCTGGTTCCAATCAGAGACGTCACAGCAGAAGGTATGACAGAACAAAGCTGCTTAGCATATGACGTCCTGGAAGAACAGCAGCAGGCCAAGTGCCACAGCTGGAGTAAGGAACCAAACACAAACCTCAAAGCCACACCTTCATGACTGTCCTAGTTACTTTTTTCATTGCTGAGACAAATAGCCAACACTCACCAGTTAAGGAAGGAAAGATTTATTCAGCTCACAGTTTGTAGAGGTTTTAGTACATAAATTGGCTAGCTCTGAGGCAGGGTGGCACGGCACAGGGCAGAAAGTAGCAAAGCAACAAGGGATGACCACAGCTATTTCTAACCCTTACATCTTATTCAGGCTACTTAGGGTGGACAGCACTCACATTCTTAATCCAGTGCCTTTGAGCCCAGCACTGTACCATGAATTAATCCCAGTGTCACACGCTCTGAAAAAGCCGTGCCTCTGAAAAGCCCTACCTATGATTGCCTGAGGCTTCAGGGGTACATCAAAACATAAGCCATAACATTCTGCCCCTGGCTCCCCAAAGATTCATGCACATCCCTTTATGCAAAAGGTATTTACCAACTCTCTAAGAGTTGCTAAAGCCATAGCAGTTTCAACACTGCTGTGCAGTCCAAGTCCAAAGTCTTCTCTGTGATTTAAGGCAAACTCTTAGCTGCAAGCACCTGTACAAATGAAAAGAAAGTTAAACACTTCCACCATTTGATGGTACAAAACAGACATTTCCATTCCAAAAGTTACAAACAGGGATAACAAGGAATGGGATCAAAGCAAGACCAAAATCCTGCAGGGCAAACATTAAATCCCACAGTTCGACTTCCAGCATCCTTGGCAATCTGTGGCAAGTTATGAACTCCAAAGGGCTTGGGTGGCTACCCGCTACAGTACTGGCAGTGGCTGCAGCTCCCATGGTTTCTTTCTTGGGCCCACTCTGCTCCTCCTTGCACTTTTCCTCAGATGATCCACGTTCCCGGCTTCTAATTTCTGGGGTCTCCACTGCACCTTTGGTTTCACACTCACAGCTTCACACACTGCCCTCTCAGGGGCACAATGCCTGGCCTCCCAAGCTTTCTTCTGAAACCTGGGTGCAAACCTTCCTGACTCCACAACTCTTGCATTCTGCATGCACCTCAAACTAGTACTACATGGATGATGCCAAGGTCTGCCACCAGCTGGGGCAGTAGTCAAGCTTCCTTCTCTCTTGGCTGGTAGGGGTAGAGTGCCTATGAGCCAAATCCCAAGGAACAACTTCCCTAGGCTATCTCTGGGCCTCTTCCCAAAGCAAAGTCTTTCACTTTTGCAATTTTGAGGCTACAAAGGGTGGAGTTCTGTTGCTCCTTGTGATGCCGTCAGGCCATCTTTTCTATTCTCCTGTTCCTTCTCAGCAATCAAGATCTCCTCTGCTCTACCTTTGCAGTCCATAGCTTTACTGTAGCTTTCTTTCTGGCCTAACTCAAAAGCTTTTAAATCATTCTGCAGGGTTCTTTGCTCTTGATTCCCAACATAAATCTGGCTATGAACCCCCAACAGTAGCCATGCCATCACTTCAACATTAGACTGCTTTAAAATTTCTTCTTCCAAATTAATTACTCCACTGCCCTTAATCTCAGTCTCTAGAAAAGTCTCTGGACATAGGCAAAATGCAGACAAACGTTCTGTCAAGGCATCACATACATTATCTGGAGCCCAACAGCCAACGCAGTCCTTCTTCTCAGCAGAAACCTCCTGAGCCTGGTCTTTGCCAGCAGCATTTCTATCAGCCTTGTGGTCTGAGCTCTGACGAGAACGTCCCATCAAATACAACCTAAGGCATTCCAACTCTACTTTTTCAGCCCACATCTCCAATCTTTCCTAACTCTTCCCCTTCCCACAAACCAGTTCCAAAGGTTCTTGAACCACATGATCAGGTAGTCATAACAATGACCCCACTTCTCTGGTACCAAATTCTGTCCTAGTTAGTTTCCTCTTGTTGCTGAAGACAAAATACCCAACATCCACAAGTCAAGGGAGGAAAGATTCATTTAGCTCAGTTAGTAGAGGGGTCAGTCCATAACTGGCTGGATCTGAGGCAGGGTAACACAGCAATCAGGCATCACAGAGGAGAAACAATTCATTGAGGGTAGAAAGTAACAAAACAAGCAAGGGATGACCACAGCTCTTTCTAACCCTTATATCTTATCCAGGCTACTTAGGGGAGGTAGCATACATACCCTTAATCCTAGTGCCCTTCAGCCTAGCATTGCACCATGAATCAATCCCAGTATCACACTCTAGATCCAGACACAAGCCATAACAATTACCCACCCAGACACACCTAGAAATTGGTTTCACAAATACCCAGGATAGATCCCAAAGCTAATTTTTATGGTATAGATTAAGAATGTCCCCCAAAGATCTCATATACTCATAGGTAGAACTTGTGGAAGTGACCAATTCCTGGGCATGCTGTCCCTATCAGTGGAATCATCTAGTAGTGAGTTTAGTAGCTGAATGTGTTGTTGAAAGCCAGAAAAGCAGGTTACTAGGGGATGGTATATCTCCCTCCTTGGGTCCTTCCTTCTCTCTGTTTTGTAGTTGCCATGACATAAGCCATTTTTGTCCCCAACAAGCCTTTCTACCATGCTGCTTTCTGCATTTGAACCTGTCAAACACAGACTGAAATTTCTAAAACATGAGCCAAAATAACCTCTTTAAGTTCTGGGTGTCTGGTATTTTGCTCAAGGAATGAACGATGTAACTAAGATATCAATCAGGCTGAAACTCAACCCTAATTGCCATATCTCATCCTTTTCCAATTTGCTACACAAACACAACTCTTTAATCATACTAATCTCCAAATAAAGACAATAGTAAATTCATCATTCCACCTAACATAACACAACTGTCCTGCAAACAACTAGAAAAGCACTAATCCCTTACCCAAAGGGTCAATTGTTCCAAATTTTCCAAAATTCTAATCTTTCCTGAGATTTAAGGCAAACTCTTAGCCCTGAACTTCTGTAAAATCAAAAACAAGCTATGCAATCCAATGGTACAATGAACAAGTAAACATTCCCATTCCAAAAGGGATGAATAAGCCAGGTCTGGTGCTGTATTTCTGTAATCCCAGCACTTGGGAGGTTAAAGCAGGAGGATCGTTGCAAGTTTGAGACCAGCTTGGGCTACAAAGTAAGCTCAAGGAAAGTAAGCTCAAGGCCAGCCTGAACTGCATGCATAGTAAGACCTTGTCTCAAAAAAAAGACAAAAGGGATGAACAGAGGAACAATCAGACTGAAGCAACCCTGAAACCCAGCAGGGCAAACATTAAGTCCTATAGCTCTGTATCTGGCATCCAGAGCATACAGGGGTAAAATGTCAGGTCCAAAGGGCTTGGGCAGCCCCATACCTGAAGTTTTTCCAGTTGGAGCATCATGACTTCTTTCTTAGAGTGACTCTATTCACAGCATGCAGCTTTCCATGTTCCTGGCTTCCATCTCCAACTTTCTAAGGTTTCCAGTGCACCTTTGGCTGTATTCTCACAGCTTCATATACTGCCCTCTCATAGGTTCCTTCCTGCCAGTTCCTCCTTTCAAATGTTGATGAAGTCCTTCCTGACCCAACAAGCCAGTAAAACCAACATTATATAGACCATGGCAAGGTCTACTGTAGGCTGGAGCAGTACTCAGGCCTCTTTGGACCATGGCTGCAATGGACTCTGAGGGCCTGGATGACTGAGCTCAATGAAATGAATCCCAGGAAACCAATTACCTATGAGGCCCTTCTTAGGCAGGTATCCCAGGGACTCTTTTTTCGTAAGAAAGGTTGATATTTTTACATCCCTGACCCTGCAATAGGCGGAGTCTTTCTGATTTCTGCGATACACTCAAGGTACCTTTCTTCCTGTCCCTCTACAAAGTATTGGTTTCTTTTTAATGGTACTAATCTCTTCAGCAACCATGTTTCCCTTGGTCCCAACTTTATACATGGTTCCTTCTGAGCCAAAATATAAGTTTTTCCATTTTTTTAGCTCTGCTTTCTTGCCCTGATTCTTACTACAAAGCTGGATAAAAGCAGCCAGTAATACTTATACTACAGCTTGAATATTAAGCTTGACATTTCATCACACTTATTAATTAGTCCACTGCTCTTAACCTCAGTCTCCTGCAAAGTCTCAAAACATTGGGATAATGTAGATAAGTTTTCTGCCACAGTGTAATATACATGGTGTCTTGGTTACTTTTCTCTGACACTCAAAACTAGGGAAGGAAAGGTTTATTTAGGTCACAGTTTGTGGAGGCTTCAGTCCATACTTGGCTGGCTCCAAGGCAGAGTGGCACATGGCAGAGGACAACAGTTCATGGCAGCGAAGACAGCAAAAGCAGCAAGAGCACAAGAGCAAGCAGCCTTTTTCCCTTCCTTACATGGTATGCAAACTATCTGCCCCAGGGCAGGTATGGCTCTCACACCCATAATCTCAGCATTGGACCATGAATCTATCATAAACTCTAGAAGCCAGTCCCATGAGGGCATAAGGCTTTGGGCAGACATTCAGAAACAAACCATACCATATGGCCTCTAATCCAACTGCCAATGGAGTCCTTGTTTCCAACTAAAACTGCTTGAGTCTGGCATTTATTGTCCACATTCCCATCAGAATTCTTGTGTTCTGATCTCTGACCAGAATCACCCATTACACTCTATTTAACATTGTATGGTCTCTAGCTCATATCTCCAAACCTTTCCCAACTCCTCCAGCAAACTAGTTCTAAAGGTTTCTAAACCACATGATCAAGTATAGTCACAGCAATGACTCCACTGTGGGTACCAATTTTTGGTTATTAGTCAGCTTTCTCATCACTGAGATACAATATCCAACACCTACAATTTAAAGTATGAAAGACTTAATTTGCTCATGGTTTCAGTCCATAATTGGCTGGCTCAAAGACAGAGACATCAAGGCCAAACGGTGTGGCAGAGCAAAGCTGCTTAGTTCATTGTGGCTGAGAAGGAGACCAGGAAGAGTACCCGAGCAGAAAGGCCAGGGACCAGATACAGACCCCCACGGTCATGTCCTCCACAATCTACTTCCTCCAACTAGACCCCACCTCCTAAGAGCCCATTCATCTATGAATTCATCAATAGGCTAAGCCATTGAGGAATTAGACACAGATCCAAAGGCAATGCCTCCATGACTCACCCATACACACCAAAAAGCCTGTTCCAATTTCTACCTAGATGGATCCCTAACCACCACAGATGTAATGGAAAAAAAATATTGGTTCTGTAAAAAACCTTCCTCTCCTAAATTAGTGGCAAAAGATGAGATGAGAAAGCTGACTATATTTTAGTAAGTTACTCTGTTTTCACTATTTTAACGCGCCCCCCCCCAAAAAAAAACAAACCATACAAATCCTTGTATACCTGTTTGGAGAATTTTGATGTTTTTCATTTGTCATTATAAAACCAAGAACAATTGTGTCATTTTTTGTATGCAGTTATTATATATAAGGCAACCTGTCATTAAGTAGCGCTGAACTTTGTTTTAAAATACTAGCTTTCCCTTCAAGTCAAGCATGTTGTTTAAATAAACTTATCTAAAATGAAAACAAAAAAACTGTAAGAGCTCACAATAATCAAAGAAAGAAATATAGTAGTATGATACCAGTTATGAAGAAAGCTATTTATATGAAGGAGAAGGGGATATTTAAAAAAATTATGATGTTATGTACATGTAAAAACTTTCCATGATTAATGTAATCATTATATACTGCAAATAAGTACCAATAAAAATAACACTTTAATAAAACAGTAAAGAGAATCATTCTCACCTTTGTATCCACCACTTCTATCAAGATGAAGACCAAACTCAGATGTAAGAGCTGTGTCTCGATCAAATAGCAACCTTTCAAATACAAAAAAAGGGCACAGATTATTATCTGGTTCCAGAAACAAAGACTAACATTTTAAGTGTCATTTTTTATTATACCTAAACTTTCTCAAATTCTTAGTTACATTGCTAATATTTCTCTTTAAAATATTATTTCAGAAATGTACTTTAATTAAAATCTTATTCAAGAAAAAAAATATTCATATAATCGTATTCATTTTTACAAATATTCTGTTATTGGTTTTGGTATTTGGGGATAAGTCATAAATACCTTTAATTTTGTTTAACAGACATAAAATGAGACTATTTGAGTGACTAGTTGTGGTGGTTTTTCTCCTTCATATTTCTCTATAAACCACAGAAAACTTAGATTAAAATCCCAGGGCTAATACCACAGGAACTATCACAATGTATCAACTGGGATCTCACTTTGTTATAAAGCTTTTGCAGAGCAGGAAAAACCACTAACAGAGTGAAAAGACAACCCACAGTGTGGGAAAATTTTTTTGCCAGTTGTTCCTCAAACAAAGGACTAATATCTAGACTATATAAAGAACTAAAAAAAAAAAAAAATCAGACCCCCCCCACCCCAGATTTAAAGGCCCAATTCAAAAATGGCATCTGAAATGAATGGATACTTCTCAGATGAAGCAGAAATGGCAAATAAATAAATATATAAAAAAATGTTCAACATCACTGGTCATTCAAGAGATGCAAATTAAAACAACACTAACTGGCGCATGCCTGTAATCCCAGCTGTTGGGAGGCTGAGGCAAGAGGATCGTTGCAAGTTTGAGGCCAGCATGGGCTACAAAGCGAGCTCAAGGCCAGCCTGAACTGCATAGCAAGACCTTGTCTCAAAAAGACCAAAAAAAAAAAAAAAAAAAAAAAACAAAAAAAAACCACCAAAAACAACAACACTGAGATTCCATCTCAATCCAGAAAGAATGACTATCACCAAGAAATCAACAATAACAAATGCTGGGAGGTTTGTGTGGGGGAAAAAGGAACGCTTCTCAACTGTTGGTAGGAGTGTAGACTGGTGCAACAACTGTGGAATCAGTGTGGTAATCCCTCAAAAAACTAAAACTAGAGGTTTCGTTCAACCCAGCTATTGCCCTTCTTGGCATCCTCTCTAAAGAATTAAAAGCATTATAGCACACAGACATATGCACACCCATATTTACACTAGCACAGTTTGTAATAGCTAAATCTTGGAAGCAGCCCAAATGCTCATCAACCAGTGAATGAAAAAGGCTTTTTTTTTTTAAATGCAATGGAGTACTACTCTACTATAAAGAAGGGTACATGTGAGCCATTTCTAGCTAGATGGATGCACTTTGAGACCATACTCTCAAGTGAAGTAAATCAGACATGTGGATAAATATCACAGGGTTTCTCTGGTGTGGGAAACTGAAAGTGTAAGTAAGGACCAAAATGTTATAACAGATATTGGAAAATGAGAAAAAAATGTTCAAATGAGAAGGGGGAAAAGAGGGAGGAAGGAAAGAAGGGACAAGAAAAAAGAATAGAAGGGAAAAATGGAAACAAAGCTTTTGTAAATAAAGTGGCTGAAGGGAGGGGAGGGGAATGGGAAGAAGCAGCAGCAAGATATACCATGTACAGGTGCAAAAATCTCCAAAATGAATGCTGCCACTATGTATAAAATGTACCAATAAAATAAAGATTTTTAAAAAATAAAACTCTAGAGCTAAAATTGGGTATATATTTTCATAACATACAGGGACAAATAGAATTCCTTTAATTTTTAAAGATTTACTTCTCACTGTGTTGGAGGTAAAACCAAGGTGACAGAAAAGATACAGTCAAACAGCTCTATATTCAATGAGGTACAGAACTAAGAAATAGTAATCATTCTCCATGATGAGTATGCTACTCCACAGACTTAAACATTTATCTTTCTGTTTAAAAAATAAGCAAAGGACTTGAATAGACATTTCTGCAAAGAGGAAGTGAAAATAGACAGTAAGTATGTGTAAAGATGCTTAACATCACTAATCATTAGAGAAATACAAATCAAAACCACAATTAGATAACATTTCCCATGCACAGAAATGGCTGTTATAAATTTTAAAAATTTTTTTAAAATAGAAAAACAAACCTCAGCAAGAATGTGAAAGAACTGGAATTCATAACACGGCTGGTGGGAATATAAAATGGCTGTTTCTCAAAAAATTAAAATCTATGGCTGTTTCTCAAAAAATTAACCAGAATTTCCATTTGAGCTAGTAATCCCCTAAGAGTATATACATAAAAAAACTGAAAGCAGGGAGCTGAGCAGAATTTATATACCTATGTTCATGGAACGATTATTCCCAATAGCCAAAAGGTGCAAACAAACCAAATGTCTACCAATGGACACATGGATAAATATGATATATATGTATAATACAAAATTATTCTGCCTTAAAAAGAAATGCAGATATAAGCTACAACTTAGATGAACCTTACGCTAAGTGAAAAAGCTAGACACTAAGGGACAAATATTACATGGTTCCATTCATATGATGTACCTAGAGTAGTCGAATTCATAGATAGAAGGTAAAGTGGGGGATATCATAGGCAAAAGTACAGGGGAGTGACTTCTCATAGTTTAATGAGCATAGAGTTTGGGGGAGTGAAAAGGTTCTGGAGATAGTGGTAATGGCTGCAGAACAATGTGAATGTCCTCAATGCCATTAATTTGTACACTTAAAATGGTTATAATGGGAAATTTTATATAAATTTTACTACAATGCAAATAAAGTAAAATAAATTTTCAGAACCCAAGAATGCAAAAGTGAATCATCTCTACTAAGTAATATGTACTTTGGAGCTGAGGGTTTTTGTTTGTTTACTTACCTAATCATGTTTCCTTTTACTACTTTTATGGAAAATTTCAAATTTCCAACACCAACTCTGCCCCCTGCCGGTCTCCCACTGAAGTATTCTAAAGCTAATCATGAACATTAATTCATTTTATATGGAAATATGCTGGTATATAACTCATATAAAATTCTTTTGTAATGTAACCACAATTATCATACTTTTCAAAACAGTCATAAGTATTATACCTAAAAGTCAATAATTACTTAATAATATTAAATTTAATCTTTGGTAAGCAGCCTCTAAAATAACTCCTCATATGTTTGCCCTATGTGATCCCTTCCCTTGAGTATGAGCTCTACCCAGTGATATATCTAATAAACAGAATAGAACAAATACAATGGGATATTACTTCTGAGACTAGATCACAAAAAGACATTAGCTTCCATTTTGTTTTCCCTCTTATTCACTCAACTTTTCCTTCTGATGGATGCCGCCTTGTCACTTTGTAAACTGTCCTATGGAAAAGTCTACAGGAAAAGTATGAACAGCCAGAAGCTCAAGGTGGCCTCAGGTCTCAACAGCCAGAGATAAACTAAGACCTCAGCCCAATAGTCAGCAAGAACTAAATCCTGCAACTACCACAAGGGAAGTCAGTCTGCCTTAGTGAAGCCTGTAGACAAATGCAGTGCTGGCTAATATTTTGAATGCAACCTTTGAGAGGTTAGGTATCCTGAGCCAGATAACTCAATTAAGCCATGCCTGGGTCCCTAACCCGAATAAACTACAAGATAATGTGTTTATTGGCTTAAGAAATTGAATTTTAAAATAAGTTGTTACATAACAATAGAAAAGTAAAAAATAATGAACTGTATATTAAAAAATGAAATCCTGACAAGCATGGTGGCGCATGCCCAGCCAGCACTTGGAAGGCAGAGACAGGAGGCTCACCTCGAGTTCAAGGCCAACCTGGGCTACATAAGCAAGTTCAAGGCCAGCCTGCACTAAATGGTGAGACCCTGTCTCAAATAAAACACACACAAAAAAATCCACATTTCTCCAATTTTCTCTCCTTATAATTATTTTATTCAATTCATGATCCAAAAAAGGTATCAAGGTATATACTAACACTTGATTTCTATGTCTTTTAAGTATCTTTAAAAATCTTTTATCTATCTTTCCCTCTGCCCCTGTAATTTGTTGAAACTGAGCTGTTTTTCCTAGTTTCCCACACATAAAATTGCTGATTATATGTCACTTAGTATGTTCTTTCTCTTCTATTTTTCTTGTAAAATGGTAATTACAGATTTGATATAATTAAAGTTCACATTCGGAGGGCATGTGTTATTAATTGGATTTAAAATGTTCCCCAAAACCCATGAGCTAAACGAAGGGTTTCTTTTGGTCAGTTTTCCCATCTCTGGGACATAATACCTGACACTCAACTTAAAGAAAAAAATTTTAATTTGGCTCATAGTTTCATGAGATTCAGTCCATGGTTATCTGGCTCCAAGGCAGAAACAACACTTAGAAGGATGCTGAATAGCTAGGTTGCTCATTTCATGGCAGCCAGGAAGCAGAGCAGGGGAACATCACCAGATAGAGAAAAGAGGCACAGTACCCAAGGTTATGCCTCCATGACCCACCAAGACACACACAGAAGTATGTTTTATTAATATCCCAGGTGTTTCTTAATCCAATCAAGTTGACATATCTCAATTAATGGTCTCAGGCTTACTTGGCCAGTTGTCAGACTTTTTGCTGACTGGACCATGAGAATTCTAACCACATCAAGTTGATTAATATATTGACATTATAATTTGATGGCACTGGATGTGACAGAAACAGAAGGTGGGACCCAGTTGAATATAGTGGATCATTGGGGCATGGAAGAACTGGAGAATAATGGAACTTCTATATCTTCTCTGTGCTAGTAATTATACATCTATGTCTCCAAATTCAGAATTGTGTCTGGTCTGGACTATATCTGGTCCCCCGCCCCTTCCTCTCTGGTTCTTTCCTGTTCTCTATTTCCTGGTTGCCAAGAGGTGAACAGTTTTTCTCTGTCATACCCTTCTACTATGATATTTCTGCCTCACCACAGGCCTAAAATCAGTGAAGCCAGCTGACCATGATCTGAAACCATGATTCAAACAAATCTTTCCTCCTTAAATTGTTTTTCTCAGGTA